TGTGGCACCTTAGAGGCTAACAAATTTATTTGAGCATAAGCTTTCGTGTGCTACAGCTCACTTCATCGGATGCATCAAATAAATTTGTTAGTCTCTAAGGTGCCACAAGTACTCCTTTTCTTTTTGCGGATACAGACTAACATGGCTGCTACTCTGAAACCTGTGTTTTCTTTGAAATTCTACTAGGGCTGACATTTTACCACCATGTCACCTACAAAAGGTTAGAAGACATGTTGAAAAATACACTGGAAGCTGGTCTCTGCTACTCCTTCCACCATTGCTAGCACTGGAACAGCTGCAAGAACTCCAGAAGAATCAGCATAGACACAGCCTTATAAGACTCATCTTTGCTAGAAAATTAGGTCATGTTAAACATGATTTTGCATTCATCGTAGAGAGAAAAATCAAGATTAGCATTCTGACAGCTGATCACAGCTAAAGCTATGGTTCGAGCTGGGTATACCCATCTCCATCTGGCATGATGTTAAACAAAATGGTCCCTGTCTATATTGACTGCAAAGTTGTGTTTAACATTGTGCTACTTAACACAACTCTTCAAACATGACCTAATTTTCTAGTGAAGACAAACTCATCGGGTAATTTCTGTGAGAATAGTTCGCAACATTCAAACAGAGTAGTAGCCATGGATCACTACAACTTTTGGGTCCTGATCTTCAGCTGATAGAAACTGGTATAGCTTCACTGAAGTCACTTGGAGGTTTGCCAATTTATACCAGCTGAGCATTTGGCCCTGGTTTTGTAAAATAAACCACTATGAGAGTTTCCCTTCTCATCCCTACCTACTAGTGTAGATTATACTCAAAATTAAAACAATACAAATTAGGACATATCAATTAGTGAAGAACAAGGAATATAGACATCCAGACTGCAAAACATCTTTCCATACATTTTGCTGTTTTCATAAGAATCTAAACTTTTGAGAACTGCAAAATGAAGAGAAATGTACATATACCCTTATGCTTTTTCTGATGAATATAGGCCTATTTTTTTAAAAAAAAAATCAAGGGGGCGGGGGGTTGCATTCAAAAGTCAGGAATATCAGTTTTTACTTCCTCTTTCTTCCTAAAAAGAAAAGGAGTACTTGTGGCACCTTAAAGAAAAGGAGTACTTGTGGCACCTTAGGATTTTGCCATTTGTTTAGAGGACTCACAAAGTAACATCACAGGAAGTTGAAACCATTACAGCATTAAGAGTAAAGCGTACAACAAACAAACAAATATATGTCTTTGCAGCTAACCAAATTCTATCTACAGTTCTGCTTCTGGAGATAATTTTCCCAATATAAACCAATGCACTAGTGATTTTGAAGCATGCAAACCAGACTACAACAAATTCACAGAAAGCGTGGCCCTGATCAAATTCACATTGAAAAAAATGGAAAGACCACAACTGAATTCAGTGGGCAGTGATTCAAATGCCAAGAGAAATGTGACTTTACCCCATTCATCTCAATTGGCCCTTACTGCCAGTGCTTAGATATGGTGATAGGAGCTTTAGAAATGCTTACAGAGATGGGAGCATAATTAGATGTCAACATTACTAACCTTTTTACTGCTGATCATCGTATCCAAAACAGCTGACTAATGTGCTTTATCCTGTGCAGCTGAATGTATTTTTCATGTCCTGACATTCCACAGGAATAAGTCTGCGAGTTTTTAGATGTAGTTACATGATTGCCTGGATAATTGATGGTTTTTTTCTACTTTTCTTAAAAATTCAAATTAAAACATGATAAAGAGAAAGACAAGCTTCCAAGCTACACAGAGCTCTTCCTCAGGTCAGGCTCTGTGTATCTCGAAAGCTTGTCTCTTTCACCAACAGAAGTTGGTCCAATAAATAAATAAAAGATATTACTTTACCTACCTTGTGTCTCTAATATCATGGGACCAACAGGGCTACAACAGTAGTGCATATATTTATAGGGTATGCAGTTTTAAAATGTTTGACATTCATAATGTGGCTTGAAGAATTTTGTAAATTTCTTATCAAACTTGGCTAAAAAAAGAAAACTTAGTTCACTTTAATAACCTAATAAGTAATTCTGAGCCTTCCTTGTGTCTTACATTATCTGGTTTTGAGTCAAATCAGATAGAATAGAAAAAGACAAATGCTCTGGATGTTCACAGGTGCTGAGAACCCCCAACTCTAATTGTCAGCAGTGAGAGGTCGGTACTCAGCACCTCTGAAAATCAGATCCAAAATACTTGCTGAAATTGTGAAAATTTAGAGGTGAAAATCTTTCCCTACAGATTTTACTAAAGCACTCTGCATCCTTCTGTTATCCCAGATGAACAACACTGCACACAGACATCCATTAATAAAGCACCATTTTTAAAAGCAATCTCATCGTAAGTATTACCTTCTAAAATGAAATTGTATTATTTTTAATGCATTTGCAAGGCACTCATCACCATAAGCACCAATTTGTTCACCCATGTATTACCAAACAGAATGCTCCTTGTGATCTTTTAGCAATTAAAATCTTCTCTCACTGGTGTGTGGAGAACAGACTCCAAGAATAGTATGAAGCTTGATTTTTTTTTCTCTCTTAATTAAAGTTCTTTATGCCTTTTGGTACTTTGAAGAAAATATAAAAAAAGAATGCAGTAGGAAAATACCTAATCACTGAAGGATTTCCTAGTCTTTACTTTTCCCCCCTCATGAATGGTATATAAAAAATATTATATTTGAAAAAAGAAAAGGAGTACTTGTGGCATCTTAGAGACTAACAAATTTGTTAATCTCTAAGGTGCCACAAGTACTCCTTTTCTTTTTGCGAATACAGACTACCACAGCTGCTACTTTGAAACCTGTCATTATATTTGAAATTACTGAATAAAAGAAGTGGATGGGAGGCACTAATGTGCAGCCAGCTACATCATATACATTGATTCAATTTGATTCCATGCCCTGAATTTCCCCTTTAGTTTGACTGACAACGTAGAATTGTTATATTAACCCTTTCTCCCCTTTCATTTTCTTCTCCATCTCACTCCCTTTTACACTTTATTCAGTGAAACTCCTGCTGACCATTAAGGTTTCCTTGAGTTTCCCTCACCTATCCTCTTCCCAGCTAAGTATCTGGGGTTTCAATAATTCTCTCACTAACACCTTTCTGACCTCACAGCAGAAATCTGGAGTGAACCCAAAGCCAATACCCCTAAATTTGTGTACAGTGCCATTTTACTATGCACAGGCTTGGTTGTGCCTAGAGTGACCAGATGAAATGGACAAAATATCGGGACATATGGGGGAAGCAAAAGTGGCCGGAGCGGCCAAAGCCACAACATCGGGACAAATGGCGTCCCGACCGTGCATCGGTCGGGATGTGGGACAAAGAACTAAAAATCGGGACATCTAGTCACCCTAGTTGTGCCACATGAGGATTTCACGTGAGGCACCACTTTGAGACGGGCACGGAGATACAGAAAGACACAGGGTTCCCCTAATTCAATACCAAATTTATCCTCCATGCTCACCTAAGTAGTTATGACATAGTATGAGAAACTGAAACATCATTTAATTCTTTCTTAATCATCTTTAAATACAAGTCAACATACCAACTGTGCTCATCAAAAGGTTTGCAGTCTAACAAAGGATGGTACCTCACTAAAAATCGAACTAAGAACGTTTCTAATAAAGTGTTTTAAAAAGTTTCCACCTTGGTGTTCAGATCTATTCTCAATTGCTTCAGATCAATTTGTTTACTAGTCAAAACCTAACTGCCAGCACTGGAAGTTCAACTAGGTAAACAAAATCTAGGTGTGTTGTATCTGCTGCCTACATTATCACCAATTACAGTATAACAATTCTGCATCCAAAATTTAGCTGCCAGGTTTTTTTGATGATGCAGAATAAATTATTGCATGTTCTTCCTATGTTCTATTGAGTAATAAAATATGTTTGTCAATCAGCTATTCATATATTACTTAGATGATGTACATGGAGCAGATATTGTATGTACAGTAACAAGAGACAATTTTTACAGTCCTCTTTCCCCTCTAACCAGGCTTTAAAGTGGTAAATGGGAAAGCGTGCCCATCACAAGATGCCATTACTAACATGTACATCTAACTAATGTAAGCCCTGATCTTGTAAATACTTGTACACCTGAGTAACTTTAACCATGAGTAATGCCAGTGAACCCAATGTTTGCAGGCTGAGAGCCGTGTCTTTATGACTCCTTGTATAGCATTTCCTGGAGAACATTCTGGCAGCCAACCTAATCTATAGCCTGATCCTGAGAGGTGCTGAGCACTCACAATACCTGTTGATATAAATGGGGATTCAGTTGCTCCACACTTCTCAGGTTCAGGCCCTTAATCATCTTGGACTTTACTTAGCCTTCTGATAAGCTTCAATAAAGAAAATCTTGTCCAAATTTATCTAATATACTTTACATCAGCCCATAATACTTACGATCTCTCTTTTTTTAAAAACTGATCCTAGATAAAATTTTAAGCTATAAAATAGGGTATCAACAATGTTATATACTTAGGAACCAAGGGATGGAGGGGCACAGCATCACAAAATGTTCCCCTTAAAACACCTCTATTGCCACAGAAGTCCATGGGTTAGATTGGCTTCTCGGATATGTAGACATGCTGCAGCACACTGTATCCTCATACACAGAAGGAATTTTTACAAGATAAGAGTCTGCAGAGCTTGGATCTAAGTAAAAATAAAACTATTTGAGAGGAATGAAACTAGAATTTCTATAGTACCTGATCACAAAGAGAGAAATTAAGAGAAATAGGCACTCAGCAAAGGGATGTATCCGAATAAAATTGTTCAATGCACAGATCCCATTTTCCTTCCATTTTCTAATATGTGATTTCTGCACATCAATGTCAATTAAAATAAGAAAGAAAGCCTTTTAATTTTGGCATTTTGTTTTTCTATGTTTCATTATGACTGTTCCTGTCAGTTACACTGAAAGGGCTTTAACAGAGGCTTCCTTCATCCCGGCCTCTCTAATGTGATCTTTTCACCTTCTCAAGTCATTTCAATAAATATGTTTCTGTGCATCTCCTCACATCAGGCTGATGGAACACCTGAATCAAATGCTCCTGTAGTCAGAGCCACGGGCGACAAATGCTGCTGCTTCCCACTCCACAGTAAAGAAGGAGATTGTTCCAAAGAACCCAACCACTGCCATGATCAGGAGCTGCCACTGAAGAAGAAGGTAGTTGCTGTAGAAAAATGCGATTGCAGCACAGATGGACTGAAAGAAAAAACACAAAACACAGGCTATCACTTCAGGTATGCAGTCTAGCTGTTCTATGTAAAGATTATCATTACTGACATGCATACAGAAAGATATTTAGCCTTTAATTCTCTTAGAAATATACTCCTTTATCAGATATTAAATGTAAAAAGGCTTCACTATATTTATTTTGGTCTGATACACAGAAAATTCAGTTTTAACTTCTGTCATTTAAGTTCACTGGATGAATTGAACACCGCACACAAGGGTGTTTATAGTATCCTATATGCAATTCTCTGTTACTGAAACCACTGTGTCTCATGCACAACACATCCAAGGAATGAGTACAGAATATAAAACAATAACCTGAATAATCTTTTCCCAGTATTACAGCACTTTATTACAGAACCAGAGGCATGCATGTATGACATAACTGCAAATTTCTACCAAGTGTAGCTCTTAAATGCACTCCACCCTTGTTAAGGATTCAACCTACAATACTCATTAGCTCCCAGCTAGATTAAAGAACTTTTATAATTAGGCTGACCCATCATCACGTTAAATACTTAATTATCTTGGATAATGTTATCAAAACAGAATGGTGCATCGGGAAATCACTGGAAATAATAAAGTCCTTACAAACACAGCAGCTGTGATCTAGTGGATTAGGCACATGGCTGGGAGTCAGAACACCTGGGCTCTGTTCCCAGCTCCAATTTATTGTGTGACCCTGGGAAAATCTTGTCACCTCTTCATGCCTCAGTTTTCTGATCATCACAATCCAGGATCTGGGAAAGCTCAAAACCACAAAGGTTTCCACCTGGGCTCCATGTCTGCTATTTATCAACCCATTCAGAATAGGAGAAAGCAATCATTTATGAGAAGGGCTTCTAATTTAGTCCACAGCTGACATAATTATAAATAGTTTTGGGGTGATGGCTTAAGACATGTGAAATGACCATTTCAATTCTTCTTATGCCCAGGTTCCCCTCACCAAGTATTGGGCACAACCGGTAACTCTAAGTGACATGTGGTACAAACTTTAAAAAACTTGGAAACCAACATTTAACCAATACATTTGCTGTTACCTACTACCCAATCTCCAAAGACTTCTTCCAGTAAATAAATATTTAAACCAAAAATCAGAATCTGCATATCTGAACATGCCTTTAGACATTAAAGCAGAACCCACCATTATCGATAGCTCACACTCAAAAACCTGAGAGTGCCTGATTGCTCAATACATTAACACAGCACTTTTATATTGTTCTCCTGAACCAAGGGCTACTACTTGAACCAGTTTTTGCATAAAAGACAGAACAGGCTCCCATCCTTTCTGGGAAGGATAATATTAAATTTATTGAGCTCACTAAAAAAAATCTGCATTATTTCAGTAGAATACTAATTATTCATATACCCAAAAGACATCTTCACATACACAGTGACTTTGCTATTTGACGCAATATAATACCTGGACAAACTTGAAGACAGCGAAGGCAGGTGCACTGTCTTCTGAATAAAGGAACCCCAAAATACTGAGGAGTTGGGTGTTAAAGCAGCTGTCTCCTAGTCCCAACAGAAAGCTGCATAAAATTGCCAACTCTTTGCTGCAGGGAAAAATGAAACCAACTTTAATAGGGATATTCAGCTACTGGCTAGTGCTAGTACCCATAGAGATTCTCAATATAAACAACCTGTTTTGTCAGACTTGTCTTGGAAATAAAAGTAGAAAATTGAATTCAGGTTTGAATTTTGATGGAAAACTACTGATGTGGGTGGTAGATATATTTCCTTACAGGATTTTTGTACTCTGAAATTCTAAATTTTCTGCCAGTGCTACAGCCAGTCAATCCTACACTGAATTGGAGCTGCTAAAACAACTACCTCACTTTGGGACTCCTCTTCTGTTAATGGGCAAGCATATCTGGATCTTAATGCCTGCAGCCACCAGATATGGAGAGCATGAAAACTCTATGAATATGGGAGGCTTAAAAAGCACCTTTCAAATTGCAGAAAATTTCAGATATAATGCTTAACACAAGTCCATTAATATGTTCACAATTTCTTACGTTGGCAAATTAGCAGTTACTTGTATTTAAACATGGGATTGCTGCCTTCCAACTCATTCTCCTTCATATGTGTGTGTGGAGGAAGCAATATGGTAGAACAATGTGGGCACAGAAACAGAGTGATCCCTGCAATATCCTGACCACAGAGATTAGAATTCTTCTTGGCCCTTACGGGGGTCATGCATGCACAAGGCAAGAAAGCTTCTGATGCCCACTCCCCAAACTGAGCACCCATGTAATGGACAGGCAGAATCTGGCCACAAGTTAATGGAGTGGACCTGGACAATGAGTATTCAATTGGCTTTAGAAATTGCTGTCATAGTGTGTGGTATAGTTGTGCCCTCTGGTATATTAGAATAACGGAAATCACTGGCATCTACGATAACTAAAGTAATTTCTCAGACCATCAGTAATAATGTTCACAAACAATGCACTTAATATGAACTGACACCATTCTGACCTGCCATTTAACCGCCTACATTTTGGTATGAATTGCTATAACATCTGAAGCTACTGAGAATGGAGAACTGTGGATGGAAACGTTCTCTAGGATCTTGATCACTAGTCAATGAAAAGAGCTTGAAGCTGTCTTTCCAACAGAAGAACAAGCTGCTTCTCTCCAAGGTTGTTAAAAAGAGGACAGCGATAAACTCTTTTCCACATCCAGCCAGGATAGGACAAGAAGTAATCTTTTTAATCTGCAGCAAGGAAGATTTAAATTAGGTATCAGGAAAAACTTTCTTTTTACTGTATAAGGATAGTCAACCTCTGGAACAGGTTACCAAGGGAGGTTGTGTAATCCTTGTCACTGGAGGTTTTTAAAAACAGGGAAGACTAACACCTGTCAGGGATGGTCCTGGTATATTTAATCCTGCCTCAGTGCAGGAGGATGGACTAGAAGACCTCTTAAGGCCCATACCACAGCCTTACATTTCTATGCTTTCAAATTACGCTGATCAAGAGAAACAGAACACTTTGTACCTTGGATTCATATAAGCACTATTATCTGTTCCTTTGAAGGAAGCAATGGGGGCATCATTTGGTATGTTGTAAAAAATTAAATAAAAGGCTAAAAAATGGACCACAATGCCAAGCATCACAACTGGGTTCCTGCCAAAGCGATTATCTTTGTTCACTAAGCCAAAGAATCCTCCACCTATAGAAGGGGAAAAGAATACATAATTATTAGGATTAATGACAAAAAGAAAGAAACTTTTAAAAAGTTTCCATTTAATCGTATATGTACAGTGTAAAGAAAGAATCCAAACTTCAGATATGGCAGCACATGTTGAAAATGTACATTAGAAATTTATCTATGATAGACCCTGAAGGAGGGACTGGCAGAGCTGAGATCAACCAAGTGGTACCTTGGTTCCACGGGGGGAGGGATGCAACTTGACAGGTAACAGAGGTGAGTTCTCTGGGCTGTCAGAGCCATCAGTGAAAGGTGGGCAGGAGCTTTGTGGAACAGTACTGAAAGGGCTAATTGTATTGTTGCAGCTGCTCTGCCAGTACTTACTATCTTCAGAGGGATTGCAATGGTGAAGGACAGCAGGTCTCAAACTGTGAGTCAGGACCCCAATGTGGGTTGTGACACCATTTTAATGGGGTCGCCAGGGTTGGCATTAGACTTGCTGAGCCAGAGCCTGAGCTCTACTGCCCAGGGCCACAGCCCAAGACCTGAGCTGTGGGTGGTGGGGCTCAGGTTACAGCGCCCTGACCTGGGGCTGAAACCCTTGGGCTTTGGCTTTGGTCCCCCTGCATGGGGTCATGCAGTAATTTTTGTTATCGGAAGGGGGTTGCAGTGCAATGAAGTTTGAGAACCCTTGCTGGAGGGTAATAGTGGTGGATGATACTGTGCTTAGCCTCATTCAGAGCAAGTGCAATTACAACCATGTTGTGAATGCCTGTGTGGATTCAGGGTGTTTCACAAGTTGGGGGATTTCAATGGTGTTAGCTACACCAAAATGCTCTAGTGTAAGCAAAGGGTAGGAGATTTTGATTTAGTCAACTGAGATTTGTATTCAGTCATTTTAATTGAGTACTAAGTTTACCTTTGATATACGTTTAGTCTTTCATCTCTAAGCATACAACCTTAGCTTTTTATTATAAAAAAGGTTTAGACTTAGCAATACAAAAATCGGTTCCAGAGTAGCAGCTGTGTTAGTCTGTATTTGCAAAAAGAAAAGGAGTACTTGTGGCACCTTAGAGACTAGCAAATGTATTTGAGCATAAGCTTTCGTGAGCTACAGCTCACTTCATCGAATGCTGTAGCTCACGAAAGCTTATGCTCAAATACATTTGTTAGTCTCTAAGGTGCCACAAGTCCTCCTTTTCTTTTTGCCAATACAAAAATGTAAATCAGATGCAGCTAACCATAAAAGCATGATGTACAAATGCTAAAAATTGCCTATTAACACTATAGACTGGATTCACTATTGTTGTCGTCTTACATAGTCATTTATACCAATGCAAAGTGGGTGGAAAATGCTAAGACTCTTATCTGGTAATATTCCACATCCTTCTCTACATTCAGTTTGTACTAGTGTAAATGATTACATAAGATGCAGCACAATAATGAATCACAGAATCATAGGGTTAGAAGGGACCGCAACGGTCATCTAGTCTAACCCCGCCAAGTATTGTAGCAGATCTTAGTTGTACTTTACTTCTTGCATATGCAACTTTTGCTGCAAGTCTGACATGTGTAGTGCACTGTACATTTGTGTAGAAACAACCTTTTCAATAATCTCAACAACTTCATTTTTTAAACTTAAACTTTAATTTCTTTAGACTCACCTAAAATTTCTCCAACGCCAATAAAAATACCAGAGAGTCCAATAAGACTTTTCTCTTCAGTGCCAAATCTATTCACAGCACCAATACAGGTTCCATATACTCCAGAAAAGAATGTTAATTCCAGACCTTTAAGGAAAGGCAGACAAAAGTTGACAGCTGTAGTATTATGCATTATTTCAGACACCATTATGCAAAAGTTCCTTTTGTCTAACCACTGTCTCTCACAAATACATGGTTAAAAGACGAAGATTGTAGATGCAATCACATTAGTTTAGGAGTATTCCAAGACATATAATTATATGACTTTCATAAGTCAGAATACATAAACTATTTTAGAAAAACCCACACACCATGACATGTGAAGTTAGTGTCATATCTGCACCTGGGGTGAAATTCTGGCTCCATTGAAGTCAACGGAAAAAGTTACATTGACTTCAATGGGAGTAAGATTTTACCATGGGTCTTTGACCTCCCACCACTTAATAAATGTATGACAATATAACCACACACCTATTCTGTATCACTACTTTCAGATATTGTGGAACAATATATAACTGGAAGTTGGTTATAAGATTATACAATGGGGATGTCAAACCTATAGCCCCAGTGACACACCTAGAATGATCATTTAATATTATATTAAGTAGGCCTGCTGCCAGCAGCAGCCAAAACATTGCTTCAGTCATTTACATACACTTCAAAAAAGCACATTACAAAATTTGGAACCCTGTGAGAACCTTAAGACTTGTAGTGGCTTTCACAAAAATAGGTACTGCAACATGGGCTGCACTAATGCTATGTTTCTGAGGTCACTACAACACAGAAAGACATTGGTCATTTCTGGCTAGATCTCGGCTTGGGCAACTCTTTTCTGACTTGTTAAATTCTGCAGGAATATTCACCTATACCATGAAGCATCACTGTTGTGGTGACCATATACCACTTTGTTTATTTTGTGTATTATATTCATTCATAATATTTATTGTATACTCTTCATCTTCAAAGTGCTTTACAAAAAATCCCTAATCCTCATAACACCCCTAACATGAAGTAAGTAACCATTATTATCCCCATTTTACAGAGGGAAAAACTAGCCCAAAAATGCTAAGTGACTTACTCAAGGCCACATATCAGTCAGAAGTAGAGTTAATAATAGAACTCAGAGCTTCTGACTACTAGTCTCATGCTCTAACCACTAGACAAACTGCCCTTGGATTGTTAATACTTTCCTACACAAATTTTGTTCTTTGTTTCGTAAACTTTATATATTTCACAGCTAAAAAAAATACCTAAGGTGCTCTATAAATAGCTGTGTTTAATTAATACACTTCCCCTAACGTTCTAATAAGATGTGGTATTTTTCATGCCTTGTCCTAACCTGTGATGTACTGTTATTGCGGAATGTTGACCAGCTGCTGTGTTCCATCCCAGAGGTAGGTCTATTTTAGTGATGAGCAATGTGATCCCTATAGACAATATGTATTTCAGTTTTCAAACTGTTTTGGGAATTCTTGCAGATGAAAAGTGCCACAGAATTATTATAAATATCATTTCAGGGAAACAGTCAAATAATCAAGTCTTTAAAGCCTGACTTCAATGCAGGAAAAAATTCTTCTTTTTTTTTTTGGTCCAGTGATGGCATTTGTGAAAAAGAGCCCTTGTCCAAAGACTTATAAAGGAAATGACAGATTCCAGGTTAAGCTCCTAATATGTACTACTACTTTCAATACACTTATAATTAACTAAAACTTAATAAAAGTAAAACTAAACTCTAAGATAAGACCAATGTTTTGCTTGGTACTTCTCTACCCTGGTACTGTCATTAACATGAGGGAAGGTAACATGGCTGAGTCCCAACTAGGGTGACCACAGAACCATGAGTCATGCAATAAGACTTTTCGATATATAGAGTCCATTTTATAAATGTCAACTCTTCCATAGCAAGTATATTTACAACAGTGCAAAGAGATTTGCTTAAACCAACACAAAGCCAGGCCAAAAATGAACTCTTAAGTAAACCTCTTTGGCCTTTGCTACTGCAGAAAATATAGTACACCATATAAAGATCTAGTAATAGTAGGTGATTTTACATGGCATGTGAGCAGTAAAGCCTCACAAAACTTTGAACAGTTTCAATAACAGACCACAACAATTCAGAATCATTATCTGCTTTTGGAGCTCTTACAATGAATTGTACCAAATCACTTTACAATACAGATGGTAATGGTGAATTTGAGCCACCAGATGGCAGCAACATATTTCAAGCTAGACTAAGTTTCTGACATGGTTACTTTAAGAGCCCAATGCGGCTTGAATTACACAAAACTCCCATTAAGAACAGGAGTACTTGTGGCACCTTAGAGACTAACAAATTTATTTGAGCATAAGCTTTCGTGGGCTACAACTCACTTCATCGGATGCATAGAATGGAACATATAGTAAGAAAATATATATATACACACAGAGAACATGAAAAAGTGGAGTAAGAGGCTAATTAATTAAGATGAGCTATTATCAGCAGGAGAAAAAAACTTTTGTAGTGATAATCAAGATGGCCCATTTAGACAGTTGATAAGAAGGTGTGAGGATACTTAACATGGGGAAATAAATTCAATATGTGTAATGACCCAGCCACTCCCAGTCTCTATTGAAACCCAAGTTAATGGTATCTAGTTTGAATATTAATTCAAGTTCAGCAGTTTCTCATTGGAGTCTGTTTTTGAAGCTTTTCTGTTGCAAAATTGCCACCTTTAAGTCTGTTACTGAGTGGCCAGAGAGGTTGAAGTGTTCTCCTACCGGTTTTCAAATGTTATGAGTCCTGATGTCAGATTTGTGTCCATTTATGCTTTTGCGTAGAGAAAAAATTCTACGCAAAAGAATAAATGGACACAAATCTGACATCAGGAATCGTAACATTCAAAAACCGGTCGGAGAACACTTCATCCTCTCTGGCCACTCAGTAACAGACTTAAAGGTAGCAATTTTGCAACAGAAAAGCTTCAAAAACAGACTCCAATGAGAAACTGCTGAGCTTGAATTAATATGTTCCATTCTATTGCATCCGATGAAGTGGGCTGTAGCCCACGAAAGCTTATGCTCAAATAAATTTGTTAGTCTCTAAAGTGCCATAAGTACTCCTGTTCTTTTTGCAGATACAGACTAACATGGCTGCTACTCTGAAACCTGATAAAACTCCCATTGATTTCTTCTATCAACTCAGCACTTTCTACACTAGGGATTAAGCTGACTTATCTACGTTGCTCAGGGGTGTGGACATGTGTCTAGTCAGCTGACCACCAACTGGTCTTAAAACAGGGCACCTGTCCTGGCCCCTAGAGGAAGGTGATCACCAGATGAAAGCTCAACTGTCTGAGAACATGAGAGACAAAGCTCAGAGAATCAGAGACTAGAAGTATATAAAGAGAGAGAGTGAGCAAAAAGTTGCTTGGATAGAGCTATAGGAGACCTGGTAGAGAGAGCTGAGTTCTGCAGAGAGCTGGAACAGAATTGTTGGTGAGACCTGACCTAACTGGGAGCCTCTGATGAGCAGAAGGCTTGGCCAGTGACCCCTATCCAGCCTGGTGAGAAGAAGCTGGGCCTCGAAGCAAGAGGTTGGGCTCTCAGCATGGGTAGGACTTAGGCAGGGAGTCCTGAGGTGTGGAACATAGTGAGGAGCTCTCTTGTGGGCAACCTGACTTGAGGACTGTGGTAAAGTTCATGAGACTGGGCACTCAGATGGACGGCCTGGAGAGTAGAGCAAAAAGGAAATGGGAACACCGTGCCACATTGACTCTCAGGTGGGTGATCTGGAGGCACTGTCCCTGAAGAGAGGACTGGAAAAATTGTTGTATCTTAGTATTTTTACTGTGAGTTTGTCAAGAACAGTTTTGTTGCAAGGGCTTTAGGGGAATTACTGCACTGGTATATATGAACAAATTATGCCCAGAGGCAGGTTTTGTATCAAACACTAAAGGTATATCTGCACTACGGAGACTATACTGGCATGGGTATGCCAGCATAGCCCTGTAGTGTAGATCCAGCCTTCAACAACAGTTTGGGTTTTCCTGTCAGCATAGAAATACCACTTCCCTGAATAAAGTTGGCTATGTCAATGGAAGCCCTCTTTCATCGACATAGCTGTGACTATATTTTGTCAGCATAACTAAGTCAGTAAGGGATGTAGTTTTTTCACACCTGTGACTGACACAGGCATGCAGCTATAACTTTACAGTGTAGACCAAGCCTGAGAGTCTGTCATGGGCAAACAAACAGGAAACTGAGGCAGGTGCAAGGAGAAAGTGGTGTCTCCCAGGGATCTGTACTTGGACCAGTATTATTCAACATATTCATAAATGATCTGGAAAAAGGCATAAACAGTGAGGTGGCAAAATTTGCAGATGATATCAAACTACTCAGGACAATTAAGTCCAAAGCAGACTGCGAAAAGCTACCAAAGGGTCTCACAAAACAGTGTGACTTGGCAACAAAATGGCAGATGAAATTCAATGTTCATAAATGCAAAGTAATGCATTGGAAAACATAACCCCAACTATACATATAAAATGATGAGGTGTAAATTAGCTGTAACCAGTCAAGAGAGAGATCTTGGCTTCATATGGATAGTTCTCTGAAAACACTCACTCAATGTTCAGTGGCAGTCAAAAAAGTGAACAGAATGTTAAGAATCATTAAGAAAGGGATAGATAATAAGACAGAAAATATCATATTGCCTCTATATAAATCCATGGTACGCCCACATCTTGAAAACTGTGTGCAGATATGTTCGTCCCATCTCAAAAAAGATATATTGGAATTGGAAAAGGTTCAGAAAAGGACAACAAAAATGACTAGGGGTATGAAACAGCTTCCGTATGAGGAGAAATTAATAAGACCGGGACTTTTCAGCTTGGAAAAGAGACGACTAAGGGGGGATATGATAGAGGTCTATAAAACCATGACTGATGTAGAGAAAGTAAATAAGGAAGTGTTATTCACTCCTTCTCATAACACAAGAACTAGGGGTCACCAAATGAAATAGGCAGCAGGTTAAAACAAACAAAAGGAAGTATTTCTTCACACAATGCACAGTTAACCTGTGGAACTCTTTATCAGAGAACGTTCTGAAGGCCAAGACTATAACAGGGTTCAAAAAATTAAATAAATTCATGGAGGACAGGTCCATCAATGGCTGATGGGCAGGCATGGTGCCCCTAGCCTCTGTTTGCCAGAAGCTGGGAATGGGCAACAGGGGATGGATCACTTGATGATTACCTGCTCTGTTCATTCCCTGTGGGGCACTTGGCATTGGCCACTGTCAGAAGACAGGATACTGGGCTAGATGGACCTTGTCCTTTGGTCTGACCCAGTATGGCCATTCTTATGTTTTTATTGTGTAGAGACCTGCCTCAGGAGGGCACTCCACGTGGGGGCTGCCCTACTACAGAGTCAAATCAGTGATTGCAATGTAGGAAGTCTTTGCAACATTTTCCTAATGCACACATGGTTTTAGGACAAGGGCTCTTACAAAAGTCTCCTACACTTCATTGCAAGTCTGATGGAGCTGATATTAAAGACCTCATCTACAAAAATGAATTTAATTACTATTATTAGACTTTACTGCAGTTTAATTGTGTTCTAACATGATTCAATCTGGCCAGTATGAACAGGGACAAACTGTGTAATAAAGCAGACTCATAAACCATGCCCTAGCCAAGATATAAATTGGCTGACCTTAAACTGGGTTTAACAACTCTTATTAAATCCCATAATTTTGGCAGGGTTGGGTACAAAAAAATTAATCTATAGAAGAGCATTTTTCAGAAACAGAGTACAAAAATACTACAAAATGGTAATAAACTCCAATACATTAAAGTAATATATACTGGGATACAGAAATATGATCCTGATTGAGTCCCATTTAGTGTCCCATAAAATGCCCTGGCACTAGCAAATGATTGTGTCCTTTTGCCTGTTTCATTACCTGTATAAGCTGTTGTAACACTAAGGAGCAAAATCTCTTTGGTGAAGTACAGTTTAATAGATCTCTCTGCAAAGAAAAAATATAAATGAATAAAATTCACTGACATTAAGGGTGCATTTATTTTCTTTTGCTGTTTACCAAAGGCACAAATATGTTAAAGCGATGCAAATCATGTACTGATTTTTTCTCTCTTTGATTAAATAAGGCTGCTACAAAGGGGGCCTTTAACTTAAAAGGCCAATCTGAATGGGTTTTATTGTGGGGGGGCAGGGTAGAGAGGGAAATCAACCAAATACATTTTCCAGTGACTAAAGGCTGAGTGGTTTTATGTACTGTACTCTTGTAATCTCAATTCAGAATATTTTTATTTTACAGTAATTGAGTTTTTCTAAATGTTTTTGGGCCAAATTCTGCCTTCAGATATCAACAGTTAAGTGCCACTACTTACAAGCTCCAGTGGGAGCTGCACACATGTATTCGAATGAAGAATTTTTACTTTTTAAATTGTTGAACTTTATTGTAAATGTTGATGTAAATTCATACAAAAGGTAACTTATACTTCATCTTGCTCTTTCTTTAATGGGAAACATTTTTACTTTCATAGAGTGGCTTTTCCTTTTTTCCTTCCCTCATCCCCATGATCTCTCCCTCTCACATCCTGTCCTCCCTTTCTAGTGTTAACCCTCTTTTTCACCTCCCTAGACTTGTTTCACTTCTGTCCTGAGACTGTCAAATATCCTTTGCTTCCCTCTCAACTCAGCAACTCGCACAATTGTTCATCAGTCCTCTTTAATCTCCACAGAATGAGATCTTTGCTCTTTCCACTGAGCCTTGAACCAGGAGGTGCCTAGAGCCTTCAAAACACAAATGCAGCCTACTCTTTGCCTCAGTGTCATATCACTTTAAAGCAGGCACCACCACTGAAGACTCTAAAGATCCTGGACTGATCTGGGATATGAAGGATCTGGGCTACATGATACATTGGCTGAATGAAGAACAGAGGAGGGAACTGTGAGGGTTGTTTCGCTGAGTGATAAACAAAGAAGATTAAGTGTCTCAGGATTAAGGAAGGGGAGACTGCAGGTCTATTGCCCTGCATTATTAAAGCCAAATTTCTGTTTAAAATTATTTATATATGGTTGTGTACAAATAGGATCATTTGACAGTTCATAGATCTGTTGTAATATTTTTGAGAAATGGTTCTAAAGTGCAATAATACTTACTAAATGCATCCACTGCCCTCGTCGCTTTGCTTTGGATAGACCTGTGTAAATATTTTCTTAAGATCAGAAAGATGAACCAGAGATAACCATGCTTTTACCATTATGATGGAAAATAGACAAATTCATATTTTAGTTTTCTGTACATTTTCCTGCCCATAATTAGCAATTTCAACACACTATGTTTAATAAAACATTTTTGTGAAATAATCCTCTAGTTGAAAAAGATATCTACCTTTAGTGGGGGTGTATGTCATTCACAGAGTATCCTCTTTTATAGCACTATGTCTCTGGGCTTTTGTCTGTATCAGACTTGTTCTCTCCACTACATGTGCTCTTGTCTTTCTAATCATCCTACAGCTGGCTAATAAAATAACTGTATCTGCAAATACTGTTTCAGAGAGACTTTAGTGCTTATAGCTATGCATTTCTAATGTGCACATCAGCATGATACCTAGGTCATTTATGTGTGATCTGCAGCTAAATAATAACTGATAGCTGAACAGATCTCTACAGGTTATTAAATCTTTCCAAACAACCCTTGCCTACCACTGTGGCATGATATTTTTTTAAAACTGTTGGCCAGATAATCAGCCTCCATTGCTACTGATACGACAGGCCTTGTTGAGCAGATGCTTTTGAAAATCCAGACCCATACACAAAGCACCTGCCAAAAAGACAAAGTAGTAAGAATTCTAAGCCCTATCTCCACCAGCAAACCAAAATTACAAACCACTTAGCTTCAAATAACTAATAAAGGACAATGGAAGAATTGTTTAAGGTAAGGGGTGTGGATAAAAGGGTTTAGAAACCTACAAAGCTCTTAGAACTACAAAGGCACTTGACTACCAGATACAAATTCTGATAAGAGTGAATCAAGCTTCCTATAATTCTCGGAGAGGCTCTGAAGGTTCTTTCTGTGCTGCTCAATAAGGAAGTCAGCCCTCTCTTGCAGAATTATTGCAGAGACACAAATTGAGAATGTGCTTTTAGAAGGGAAGTAAACAGTCTCATCCCAATCTGACCCCAGGTCTTTTTTTACCTTCATAAACCCCCCTCTGTTCTGCTTCTATCCCCAAATCACTTCCATGGTTGGAGACCAATAGTTACTGTTTGGAGATAAGGGCAAGGAAAAATATGAAAGAACATACATACGCTTAATAGTGAGAGGAGGGAGATAAATGAAGTCTCCCCAAAGACCATTACTCACCAATGAAAAAACACTATTTGTTATGCCCTATCCCATGCTCAAGTGTACCGCCTATGAGGAGAACAAGTAAGGATTGCATCAACTAGGTAATAGCTCCAGGGACTCTCCTATACTTTATTCAAATTCTAGATGCTTTTGGTTCAGAGGGAGAAGCAAATAAGGAGTTTTCCATTATGCACTAGGTACACACGTGCTTGGCTGGATGGTAATGTGTTATTGCCATAAGCACTTACGAGTTGTCTACAGTGCTTTCATCAGTGGAGGAGACTTCCTCCTCCAGTGTGTTTGACTCCTCTGATTTCCTAATCAGAAAGAACAGAAATGTGCCCACGAGACTGAAGACAGTTAGAGCAATGAAGACAGTCCTGCGATCACTCTCTGTGGAAAATCAAAAAGGTGTCACACACAGGTCTGCATAAAACAATTCAAGTCTAGTAAACTATCTCCACAAATAATGGTGCAGATAGCTAAGAAGTTCCCATGCTAAAGCAAGGTACAGTTTATAAAGAGGTGTATATAATACATATTAATTTCAGTGGTGTTGTCTGACTTACTACCCGTGTGGCAAAGTGTCCCGCATGTTTGGCAAGTTCCTTTGTCATTGCTGATATGCCAATGGAATACTGGCTGATCAAAGAATATCACCACCACTTTCGGCTGTGGCTAAGTGGGGGTAAATAAAAGGGAAGAGAAAGTGCAGAGGCTGTTCAATAACAGTATCCATTATTGCTTGCAGGGCAGAGGCTACATCATCTTCCCTACACTGATTAGAAAAAACTGCCTTCCTCTCCAGCCCCAGGAACTAATGTTACATCATGTGATACTATAAACTGGTAGAGCTATACATTTCAAAAGCTATAGGCTCATGAAACCTCACAATTTGACAGAAGATAACAGTGAGCATCTGGAGGAAAGGTACCTGATGTTCCATGCACCAGTCCCTCTACACTAACCAACTTGCTTGGCACAGTAAACTCTTTTGTGCAGAGGCTTCCCCTATTCATCAGGCAGAAAAATTGCTGAGAAGCAGCTAATCATGAGTTGTGCTGAGACAAACTAACCTTTGGGCTCCCACTTCTCAACCCTAAAGATACTGCCTACGCACTTATACTTATTTCTCCAATGGCTTAAAGGTGAACAGAATTTTTTTTAAATACATTTTTAAAAAAAACCTGTGTAAGATTCCAAATCAATAACAATGTGTCTATGTGTGTGTAGTTTTAAAAATAGTATTTTATGTGCATTTTATAAACAGCTCTTGTGGGAACCTGAAATAAAGTGTGGCAAGGAGGGACTGATGTTCAAATGTAGGAACATTCACCTTCTAATGAAATGGAAGGAGACTCCTAAATTATTTCAACATGCTTCAAGGGACTTTAATTCACTTAAAGTTAAAGGAAAACTTCAGTGTGAGTTCTGCTAAATGCTGTAATCCGAGGTGATTAGCAGGAGCAATATAAATCAGGAATCATAGAATTTCAGATTCCACAGATTTATGTTTTTGGCAGAATTTAAGCTTTCACTTTAATTCTTGGATATTTGAATTTTTTATTTTTATATGTAGGCTGTGCTACTCAGTCTGCAAAGAGCCTGAATCAATAGTACAGTAACAGAGCTGAGAACTGCCCTTTTCAGCACAAGAGGGTGCTAACTGCGAAGTTTGAAATGATCATTTAAAAGTCAACATTTCAAATTGTCTTTAGCAGAAACATCCTCCTAAAATGTTTATCAAATGAGGTTGAAAATTCCATTTATTTGGAAGGATGTCCTACAGGGAAAAGGTTTCATGTTTTAAAGATGTGAATAGTTGAACGGTCTATCAGATATCTGAGTTCTTTTTTAGTACATAATATAGGAAACCCTCCTCCTCACATACACCTTACAGCAGGATCATCAACTCCATTTCATATTACAATTCGGTTTTTTTTCTGGGTTTTCTGACTGATTATATTAAAACACAAGCTTTGTCACAGTTTCCATATAAATCAGTTGGCTTCTTAGGGCATGGCTACATTTGCAGTTGAAGAGCGCTGGGAGTTAAACCAGCCTTCGGAGACCGCAGCAGGGAAAACGCTGTTGAGTGTTTACACTCTCAGCTGGAAGCGCACTGGCGTGGCCACATTAGCAGCTTTTGCAATGCCACAAAGAGCAGTGCATTGTGATAGTTATCCCAGCGTGCAAGTGGCTGCAACATGCTTTTCAAATGCAGGGAGTGGATGGAGTGTGACAGGGAGTGTTTTGTGTGTATGTGGAGGGAGAGAGAGTGGATTTTTGGGGGGCTGAGAGCATGTCAGCATGCTGTCTTGTAAATTCAGACAGCAGCAGACCTCCCTCCCCCCCCACCCCGCCCCGCCTCTCTCTAACTCACTCAAAACAAGCAGCATTCCTCAGTAATGGTTCCTTTGTCCCGAAGCAGATAAGCAGCCAGCTGTCAGAAACCAAGCTTTGAAAGGGCATATCCGCATTCCTACGGCGAGTTCAAAACAATGACAAGAGTGGCCACTTGAATTAAGGGGATTATGGGACGTTTCCAGAGGTCAACAGAGCGCAGTAATGCAACACCTCGTTCACACTGGTGCTGCAGCGCTCCACCGGGGGCGCAGCAAACGTTATTCCACTCGCCAAGGTGGAGTACCAGCAGCGCTGTAGCCGCGGAGTCAGAGCGCTCTACATGCCTTGCCAGTGTGGACGGGTAGTGACCTAGTGCGCCTGGGGCTCCTTTATTGCGCTGTAACTCACAAGTGTAGCCAAGCCCTGAGTTGACAACCACTACCGATATATATCAGTCCCTGCCTCCACCTTTTCAGAGCAACTCAGATCCCAGATGTTCTGTATGGAGCCCTACAGCTTTGACCACCTGTCACTTTCTCCACTGAATATGAGTGCACTTTGCTCCAAGTTCTACTCTGATAGATTTGGAAGGCTCCAGCCACAATATTAATTATAATTCAAACAGGAAATTAACCTTGATTATCTCTATCAAGACAGGGACACTGAGGGTTTGTCTGCACCAGGATATTATTTTGGAAAAGGCAGGATGTGAATTTAAAGTGTAATAGCTATTCCAGAACAGCTCCCCATGTAGACATTCTTATTTCAGAATAAGAGTCTTCACATGGGAAGCTATTATGGAATTCTGCAATAAACTATTGTGATGAAGTGTGACTGTTCTTAATGTTTCCTCTGAATAGTGTGCGGGTGCCTCAGTTTCCCCTATGCAGTTCTTAAGTATCTAGGTGGTGGGATAAGGGTGTATGATCGTTGCAGAGCCCTAGAGGGCAGGTGTGTGCAGGGGTCTGGACATAGAGAATGGCCAACACCCTGTTTCCTGGCAACAGATGGCCTGGCCCTTCCCCCCTGCAAGGTGAGAGCTAAAGGGTTGGAGAACAAAAGAATCCGGTGGCCTCCTGGCCCGGGAAAGGGACAAAGCCCAGAGGAGGAGGGGCTGGAGAGAGTGAGTTGGGGCTGGTTGGGGACATGGAGTGAAGTGCAGACGTGGTTGTCTGGCTCACTGCCCCCCAAAATGGAGCCAGCTGAGGGGTCCTGTTCTCTGCACCTACAAGCTCTGTGTTAGACCATGTTCCTGTCTTCTAATAAACCTCTGTTTTACTGGCTCGCTGAGAGTTATGTCTCACTGCGGAGTTGGGGTGCAGGACCCTCTGGCTTCCCCAGGACCCCGCCTGGGCGGACTCGCTGTGGGAAGCGCAAGGAGGGGCAGAGAGGATGCTGAATGCTCCAAGGTCAGACCCAGGAAGATGGAAGCTGTGTGAGCTGTGTGTCCTGCAGACAGTCTGCTCACAGAAAGGAGACTTCCCCAGAGTCCTGACTGGCTTCGTAGGGAGCAGTTCCAGAGCATTGCCCGGGGACTCTGTGACAACTATTCTGATCAATTTCCCTCTGTACACAAGTCCTGAAAGAAGGCAAAGGGAACAGCAGCCAGGAACACTGGAGATATTCACAGCTCTTGTATTACATGGCTTTACATACTAAGGTTATGTCTATACTACGCAGCTTTTTGCGACACGGCTATGGCGCAACAATCGTGCTGCTAAAAGGTGCACAGTGTAGCCGCTGTTTGTCAGCAGGAGAGCGCTCTCCCACCAACAAATAACTTCCAGCCCCAATGAGCGGCATTAGTGTTGTTGGCAGGAGAGCACTCCTGACTACAAAGCGCTGTTCACACCAGCATGTGTCGTCGACAAAACTTTTTTCTTTCGGGGGGGGGGAGGGGGAGGGTGTTTTTAACACCTCTGAACAACAAACATTTTGTCTTTCAATTGCTAGTGTAGACAAAGCCTAAAACTAAAATACTCCCCAGAAAACAAACACAAATTTTACCTGCTGTTCCCTATGTTTCTAGCTGTCACAACTATGGCTATGTCTACACTAGCACTTTTGTCAGTCGGGATGTGCAAAAAACACCCCGACAAAAGTTTCACAGACAAAAACACCAGTGTGCATCTCCCGCCAACACAGCTATCGCCACTTGGGTTGGGGGTGGCTTAATTATGCCGGTGGGGGAGCTCTCTCCCGCCAGCATAGAGGGACTACACAGGAGACCTTACAGCGGCACAGTGCAGCTGTGCCGCTGTAAGGTCCGTAATGTAGACATAGGCTATGGCTGCTTCCTACTTCATTGTTTTATCCATTTTTTCATACATTATGATACATCAAAGTATTCTACACACAAAGCAAGTAATACAAACCTGATATATGAATTTTCCCACGCCAAGCAAAGTATATATAAAGATTTCCAAAAAACAAGCTGCAAACAAAAGAGGGATAACACAGGAATATAGTATTTATTATGGTAACAAATTATATATAAAAGAATATGGTGTAAATGTTAAAGAGAGAGAGGGTGCCTGTCCTCACACTGTCCAAGTCAAACTGCTAGCCCCATAGAAATGTAAAACAAAATTGAGGATTCACCTTCATAAGGCCAGCTCTACATTTCAAAGGGATCCAAGATATCAGAAATGACATTAACTTTAGTCCATCAGGAGGAAAGACCTGCAGTATATAACTCCTATTTACCATTAAGCATTGCTCAGTATCAGCAACAATTGTCACCTCCAGCTTTTCCTTTCGTTTCATAGTCTGCGGAGCATCACTCTGAAGTATTGGAGACAAAAGTCTCCCTTGCTCTCTCATTGAACAACAACAGCAAGTACAGGGTGCATGTAACCACAGGGAAAGACTTAATAAAGGAAAGTTACCTGGACTGTAAAAGTGCCCAGAAAATTCCACTGTTTCTCCCAATAGTGTTTTCATCTGAATTTATTGTCAGGCAATTTCCCTGTGCAGTCCAAAGTACTGAAATTCAAGCAAAAAAGTTGCTGAGAAAGGAGGAAAAATAGTTTAGAGAGAGAGAGACAAATGTAGTGAAGAAGTACAAGCAGATACACACTAAGTGCAATACTTACCAGCAGCTGCTATCCCAATGAAAACAGAAGCAGTGTAGAAGGACCATGTGAAAGGCTGGATAAAAACCGCAATGTATATGCTAAAATATAACAATGTATTATATTCAAATTGAATGTGCGCAATGTTATGTGATTATGCTTTTTAACAATCAGATTTGTATCTTAGCTTCCTCCAAATCAAGTACTTATTCCTAAACTCATTTTGAAAAGACTCCAAGTCAATAAGATTTGAAACAAAACAGTTTTTTATTATCCTAAACATTTAATGCTATTTTTCTAATACAGTCATTAGACTGAGGCCTGATCTTGGGTCTTTACTACAAGGTCAGCCAGGCCTGCCAAAGCTGTGGAAATAACACGGTCACTGTCTCTGGGGGAGGGAGTACTCTGAAGTGACATTCCAAGTGACTCAAGAGCAACACTAGTATCACTGCAAGAAGCCAAACCCTGCCTTCCTCAACCAGTACAATTTCATGCATGACATGGTACCTTTTGAAGTAAAGGGAGGAAATACATAAGAAACAGAAACTACAGATTTAAATGAATTACTTACCTGTAAAATAGACCGCTAACAAACATGGATAACTGAGGTCCCACTACAGCAACCACTGAAGGTGAAATAAGATTTGATGCAGAGAACACCCCATAAATAATGGCCATGCTACACAAATAAATAATAAAGACAAATAAGCATTTCAAATGAAATTCAAGAGTATTGGATAGTGTAGCCAATTTTATTTATTTAAGGACATTTTTCAAATGATTCAAAACTATTACATCAAACATATCGCTAGCCTATGTAACTGCATGATCTTATTATTTTAGCCTCTCTTTCCCTTCTATTGTTATTTACCCTTGTTTGTTGCACCTTATCTTAAATTAGATCGTAAACTCTTCAGGGCAGCAACCAAGTCTTCCTAAATGATTGCAGAGTCCCAGCACAACAGGCCCCTGATCATGATTAGGGACTTTGGTTGCTATGGCAAAATAATAAACATTAAAAAACTGCAAAAAGAAAAGGAGTACTTGTGACACCTTAGAGACTAACAAATTTATTTGAGCATAAGCTTTCGTGAGCTGCAGCTCACTTACTGATTTCCACAGCTCTGATACCCTGATTTTCCTCCTATCTTTCAGAGTGTTCCCTTCCATGTGACTGTTGAAATCTCTCCTGCAAGCTGATCTGCACAGGCAGACCCTGTACAAAGGTCCACACATGCAGATAAGTTTGTAGGATCAACACCTTAGTTAGCTGCTTTACTTTTCAATAATTTCAGCACAGACTGCATGACCCAAGATAAAAAGCAAAGGACGGCATTGTTTTTCCCTACACAGAAAAAGTGCAAAACATTAATGTGGTTCATTTAAATAGAAAGATATACATGCAAAATTAAGCTGTGTTTAAGTATGATAACATAATTTTGTTTTTAACGTGTGAGTTCAGCAGAACAATACAATCACGTAAGAGCATGTCCCTATAAGATTTCATTAAGACTAGCTATGCCTCTTAAAGTAACAAAAGGACAAAAATATCACTGTAACTTACCTGGTATAGCCACTGCCATGAAAATTTGTGTTGTTTAAATTCGTGATAACGGTTTGCTGTGTAGAGAAAATTATAAATAATAATACAAAAAGTACATTTTATAGGTTTTTTTAAATCTGAAAACTACAGACAGATTAGCATAAGAGAGCAAAGTTAGAACTGATTGTTAATAACACCCAAGGAACTAAAAGTAGTTTAGAAATGGCCGTTAAACCTTGTAAAACCTATGTGAGGAAGTAACTATTACACCCATTGTACAGTTAGGGAAACTGAACTGCAACTTGTTCAGATTTAGTGGCAGAGTCAAGGACTGGACATCAAAATTTTGACTTCCATCCCCCTTTTCTAATTACTCTACACTCCCTTCTCTTTTCAAATGAGCAGTACGCAAGCCTTTGAAAACCACATTTATTAATTACAGCCTAAGGCCCTGAACCTCAGAGGTTTTTAGGCTCCCAACTTCTGTTGATTTCAAGAGAAGTTAGGGCACCTAAATACCTTAGAGGGATCTGAGACTAAGCCCCTTTGTGGATCTAGGCCTTCCTTCCTACACTCTCCCTCTGTCAACTGGTTTTCTGGTATGCTGGTTTGGTCCCGGGGCAACTGCAATTTGAACAATGGAACCTAAGTCCTGATTCATTCACTGCCAGACAATGGATATTTCTTGCAGACACTTTTATTTATGAGAGACAAGATGGGTGAGGTAGTATCTTTTATTGGACAAGCTCTCTCTCATCAACAGAAGTTGGTCCAATAAAAGATATTACCTCACTTACCTTGTCTCTCTCTCTAAGGCTTTGTCTACACTGGACTTTCGTTGGTAAAATTTTTATTGTTCAGGGGTGTGAAAAAAACAATACCACCCCGAACGACAAAACGTTTACCGACTAAAAAGGGCCGGTGTGAACAGTGCTTTATCAGCAGAAGAGCTCTCCTGTCGACAAAGCTACCGCTGCTCGTTGGGGGTGGAAGTTTTTTGTCGGTGGGAGAGCTCTCTCCTGCCAACAAAGAGCGGCTATGCTGTGCATCTTTTAATGTAATATCCTGGGACTAATATGGCTACAACAAAACTGTATACAGCTTTTATTTATAAAAGTTCACCCCACAAAGATGCTTGGGGTGAAGCTGTCCATTTGAAACAATAACTATTATTTTGTGATTCTATAGTGCCTTTAGATCTCAAAGTATTTAACAGACATTAACAAATTAGGCCTCCGAACACCTCTTTAATGTAAAACAGTATGAGCCCCATTTTTACAGAAATGGAAACTGAGACATGGACATGGTCTGTAGCAATCACAAATTGAACCTCTATTTGCAAACTCTCTGTTCTGTGCTTTAACCACAAGATCAGTCTCCTCCACCATAAATTAATCATACAACATGGTAAAGCAACCTTTATACACCTACAAACAGGGAATTCCTCCTGAAAATAAGAAAAGAGAGTCTCTAAATATGGCAAACATAGGTTTATAATAATAAAAGTAATAAAAGGGCAGTCTGCTTCTAAAGATAAATTGAATTATTTTTATGTCCAATTTGCCTGCAGTAAAGGAGAGAGAGACTGGCAGTAAATTATTTAGTGAAATGTAAAGTGACTTGGCAGTTCTGTCAGTTGTGACAGTATGACCACTCGCCAGATACTGTATTCATACCCCTTCAATCTCCTGTTTGTCATTACACAGAGAAAATGTGAGATTAAGGAAGATTAATTAACCAGGAGAAATTAGGTGACAAAGTTACAAAAAATAGCATCGTGGTCATGTGTTTTACAGCGAAATTATAAAAAAGCTCAGAAACATGACAAGATCCAGTTTAATTCAATTGCTAGACAGATAATTGCCAGAGCAGATATTATTAAGATGAATGTGTTTAATTAACTTAATTTTTTTCTAAGCAACCATGTATTGTCCCATACCATTATTTCATTGCTATACTCTCTTAAAGAAACAGATTACTTAAGTACCTGTGCAAATACTAAATCAAGAGAAACACAAAAAGATAAAATGTAATGCTATCATGCATCTTAGATCCCTAAACAAAATAACCCTTCAAATTGGGGTGTCAGAAAGACAGGTGAGGATGTGGAGTGTTTTGATATTTGCACTTACCGCAACATTTCCACACGTTTGAAAGGCAGTAAAGATAAACATAAAAGCAATTCCTAAAATAATTATGTTAAAAAGCTTTTTCAATTTAGGAGACATTTTGTTTTTTCTTAGGAAGTTGTCCTCTTCAGTCTGAAGAAGTTCTATTTTCCTTTTAAAGCTCCCTTTTAAGTTCTGTAAAAAAAAAAAAAAAAAACCACAAGGAAAAACCCCCTCACAAACAGGTTATTTAAAACTAATTGTTAAGTGTTAAAAAGTACTGTATTCACTGGCAAGTCAAGAGGTCTAGTCTCCACTGTAAAGAAAAGAAAATTAAAAAAACAATAACACTGAAAAAAAACCAAGTCAACGGTTTAGTAGGCGTTGTGAAGATTATTTAGATCCTTTCATATGAAGATATGCAGAGTGCAGTATATTATTTCTTCATGACATCCCTTCCCCCTAGAAGTAGTTTCCGACCTGCTGAGTTAGTAAATCAGCTCACTTCCTTGCCACCATTGCTCTGAATAAGATTTTAGTCAAAAGACATTAAATCACCTGACAAAGGAAAGAAAGGACACTCATACACACAAGCCATGTCCATTAATGCTGAACAGGAAATAAGGAATATTTCACAATCCAGGTCAGCTGACTAATCAGGCTAGAACACCCTCATGCACTCTGGGAAATGCAGTTTCAGCATTTCTCCGACTTAAAAAAAGAGTAAATCTAGAATATTACTTAAAATAACAATAGTATGTTTGTGGTTACTGTAAATAATATTCTGTAACCTTTAGACAATAATACTTTGGGCAAGAAACCAAATCTTTCAGAAAGTCTTTTAAGAAAACTGTCACCTACTGCTTTCAGTCACGCAAAGAGCATTCATAAATGAAGACTGAAAAGCTCAGGACGTCCTTTCAACAATACAGCAGAAAAGAAAGGAAAGGAAACATTTCATTGTCACTGACACACATGCACAGTCTCTCTCGCTGTTTCTGTGTATCACTCATTCACTCTGAAAAGGAGATGAAATAGCTGCCTCTACCATCATTCAATATTTTTCCTTGAAATCCTTCCAACAAAAAACCTGTTTAATTGCTAATATATTTATGTATTGAGTTTTGTAAAAAAAAATTAAAGTAAGTAATCCTCAAGATCAGAAGATCCCTATTTTAAAAAGTGAGTAAAGCAGAAAAAGAAAGTCAGACATCTCATGTTAACTCTACCCCCACTTCCTGCTATTATTATTTAGCACTTGTATTACAAGAGTACCTAGAGGCGCCAATCAGGATTGTGCTAACTGCTGCACAAACACATACAAAGACAGGGTAAAACTGGCCAAGTTGAAGTCAGTGACAAAACTCCCATGGACTTCACTGAAGTCCAATGGCTTCACCCAGCATTTCTTCCTGTCCTGAAAGGCTTATCCACAACCTACCATTCCAACAACAGTCAAAACCACTGTATTACTTATTAAGTATTTTAAAGATTTCTCAGCAATTATTTTGCAAAATTGTACAGCATTTTATTTGAAACTAGAGCTTTCTTGTTACTTATGCTAGTCAATAACACTACTCTTATGAGTATTGACTTGGATCAATAGGGGCTCAAAGGGGATGCCTGCATGGATCACATTGCAGGAGCAAAGCCTTGGTTATGTACTTGGGAACAGTAGCTCTTTCCCCCCATTTCTACATTATGAACACTTACAACAGGAGATTTCTAAGGGTATGTCTACACTACGAAATTAGGTCGAACTTAAAGAAGTCGATTTTTAAGAAGCGATTTTATACAGTCGATTGTGTGTGTCCCCACTAAGAGCATTAAGTCGGCGGAGTGCATCCACAGTACTGTCGCTAGTGTCAACTTTCAAAGCGTTGCACTGTGGGTAGCTAACCCACAGTTCTCGCAGTCTCCGCTGCCCATTGGAATTCTGGGTGGAGCTCCCAATGCCTGATGGGGCAAAAACATTGTCGTGGATAGTTTTGGATGTTGTCAGTCGCCCCTCCCTCTGTGAAAGCAACGACAGACAATCGTTTCGTGCTTCTTTTTCGTGCAGACACCATACTCCTGTCAGCAGACGGTGCAGTAGGACTGCTAACCGCCGTCATCATCCACCGCTTCTGCTGCAACTCTGTTCTCCTGCTCTCCTGGTGCCATGAATCCACCTCACAGGTCCTCTCGTCATTCTGTATAAATATCTATTCTTGTGGCATCCGTCATCATTCACCGCTTCCGCTGCAACTCTGCTCTCCTGCTCCCCTGCAGACGACATACCATGGCAAGCATGGAGCCCACTCAGCTCACCGCTGCTGTTGTGAGCATTGTAAACACCTCGTGCATTATCCTGCAGCATGTGCAGAACCTGCAAAAGCAGTTGAGGAGGCGACGACAGCGCGATCACGATAGTGATGAGGACATGGACACAGACCTCTCTCAAAGCATGGGCCCTGACAATTTGGACATCATGGTGGTAATGGGGCAGGTTCCTGCTATGGAACGCCGATTCTGGGCTCGGGAAACAAGCACAGACTGGTGGGACCTCACAGTGTTGCAGGTCTGCGACGATTCCCAGTGGCTGCGAAACTTTTGCATGCGTAAGGGCACTTTCATGGAACTTTGTGACTTGCTTTCCCCTGCCCTGAAGCGCAAGAATACCAAGATGAGAGCAGCCCTCACAGTTGAGAAGCAAGTGGAGATAGCCTTCTGGAAGCTTGCAACGCCAGACAGCTACCGGTCAGTCGGGAATCAATTTGGAAGGGGTAAATCTACTGTGCGGGCTGCTGTGATCCACGTAGCCAATGCAATCACTGAGCTGCTGCTATCAAGGGTAGTGACTCTGGGAAAAGTGCAGGTCATAGTGGATGGCTTTGCTGCAATGGGGTTCCCTAACTGTGGTGGAGCGATAGACGGAAGGCATATCCCTATCTTGGGACCAGACCACCTTGACAGCCAGTACATAAACCACAAGGGGTACTTTTCAATGGTGCTGCAAGCACTGGTGGTTCACAAGGGACGTTTCATACACAGGCACCCTGGACAGTGGTAAAGAGCAGTTCAACTATTGGCTGAGCAAGTGCAGAATGGTGGTAGAATGTACATTTGGACACTTAAAAGCTCGCTGGCGCAGTTTACTGACTAGGCTAGACCTCAGCAAAACCAATATTCCCATTGTTATTGCTGCTTGCTGTGTGCTCCACAATATCTGTGAGAGTAAGGGGGAGACGTTTATGGCGAGGTGGGAGGCTGAGGCAAATCACCTGGTGGCCGATTATACACAGCCAGACACCAGGGTGATTAGAAGAGCACAGCTGGGCGCCCTGCACAACAGAGAAGCTTTGGAAACCAGTTTCATGACTGGCCAGGCTACGGTGTGACAGTTCTGTTTGTTTCTCCTTGATGAAAACCCGCCCCCTTGGTTGACTCTACTTCCCTGTAAGCCAACTGACCTCCCCACTCTGATCACCGCTTTCAGAGGCAATAAAGTCATTATTGTTTCAAAATCATGCATTCTTTATTAATTCATCACACAAATAGGGGGAAAACTCACAAGGTAGCCCGGGAGGGGTGAGTGAGGAGGGAAGCACTGGGTGGGGTGGGGATGAGGGGAGGAGGGAAGGACAAGGCCACACTACAGTTCAAAACTTATTGAACACCAGCCTTCTGTTGCTTGGGCAGTCCTCTGGGGTGGAGTGGCTGGGTGCCTGTAGCCTCCCCACCCGCATTCTTGGGCGTCTGGGTGAGGAGGATATGGAACTTGGGGAGGAGGGCAGGCGGTTATACAGTGGCTGCAGCGGCGGTTTGTGCTCCTGCTACCTTTCCTGCAGCTCCACCAGACGCCTGAGCATGTCAGTTTGCTCCCCCATTAGGCTCAGCATTGCATCCTGCCTCCTCTCAGCGTGCTCCTCCCTCCTCTCATTGCTTTCATTTAACGCTTTCCTGGACTCTGTTGTTTGCCTCCATGCATTCTGCTGAGCTCTTTCAGTGCGGGACGACTGCATGAGCTCTGAGAACATGTAATCGCGAGTGCATTTTTTTTTTTGCCTTCTAATCTGTGCTAGCCTCTGGGATGGAGATGATAGGGGGAGCGTAGAAACATTTGCAGCGGCGGGAGGAAAAAAAGGGAGAGTAGTATTTTAAAAGATACATTTTAGAGAACAAAGGGAAGACTATTTTACACTGAATCAAGCGATTCACAATACATAGCACATGTGCTTCACCACCACCCCCGCATGTCCCGCCCCGCATGGCTACTATCAGGGAAGATCCCTCTTAGCCAAACGCGAACAGCTCAACATGAACGGGCCTCCTGCCACCGCATGGCAAAGGCTTTTAGAGTACCTCCAGGAGAGCTTCATGGAGATGTCCCTGGAGGATTTCCGCTCTATCCCCAGACACGTTAACAGACTTTTCCAGTAGCTATGCTGGCCGCAAATGCTTCCCAAGTCTTCAGGACAAATTAATCATTAAACATGCTTGCTTTTAAACCCTGTATTATATTTACAAAGGTACACTCACCAGAGGTGCCTTCTCCGGCTTCATGGTTCGGGAGCCCACCTTGGCAGGGTTGGGAGGGTATTGGCTCAAGGGTGAGGAACAGTTCCCGGCTGCCAGGGAGAAGGGATTCTCCGCTTGCTTGCTGTGCGCTATCCTCAACCTCCTCGTCCACAAAATCCTCATCCCTGTTTCATGAGACTCCCCCCTTGCAGGTGTCCACGGACAGTGGTGGGGTAGTGGTAGGGGCCCCTCCTAGAATTGCATGTAGCTCATCATAGAAGTGCATGTATGGGGCTTTGACCCGGAGCGACCATTTCCATCCTTTGTTTTTTGGTAGGCTTGCCTCGGCTCCATAGCTTTCAGGCGGCACTGCTGTGTCCCTGTTGTAGCATCTGTCCATCGTGCCCTTGGAGATTTTGGCAAATATACTGGCATTTTGTCTTTTAGAACGGAGTTCTGCCTGGACGGATTCTTCTCCCCATACAGTGATCAGATCCAGTACCTCCTGTTCAGTCCATGCTGGAGCTCTTTTGTGATTCTGGGACTCCATGGTCACCTGTGCTGATGAGCTCTGCATGGTCACCTGTGCTGATCAGCTCATTATGCTGGCCAAACTGGAAATGAAATTCAAAAGTTCCCGGGGCTTTTCCTGTCTACCTGGCCAGTGCATCTGAGTTGAAAGTGCTGTCCAGAGCAGTCACAATGGAGCACTCTGGGATAGCTCCCGGAGGCCAGTACTGTCAAATTGCATCCACACTACACCAAATTCGACCCAGCAAGGTCGATTTTAGCACTAAACCCCTCGCCAGGGAGGAGTACAGAAATCGATTTTAAGAGCCCTTTAAGTCAACAAAACAGGCTTCACTGTGTGGACGGGTGCAGGGTTAAATTAACCTAATGCTGCTAAATTCGACCTAAACTCGTAGTGTAGACCAGAGCTAAGAGACATAGGAGGGAGACTCCCTCTACCATTTTGAGGTATTCACTGTAAAGCAGATTTTTAAATCTCTCCTGATATGAAGGATTTTTGTGGTGTGATTCAAAGAGAAATTTTAAATCTCACTGTTCTATGTGAAATGAATAAATAACAAGAAGCAATAAAACAGACATAAAAACAAGAAGTGAGACATTATTTCCTTAATTTAGATTACTCATGCAGGAAATACCTTGCATGAGTAATCTAAATTAAGGAAATTTAAATTAATATTAATATTAATTTAAATTAAGGAGTGGTGCACCACTCGTTAGTGGAGTATGGTCACAGTGCTAGTATGGATAGGCCGATTGTCAGGGCTGGCTCCAGGCACCAGCGTTCCAAGCAGGTGCTTGGGGCGGCAGTGTTTCCACAGCGGCGGCAATTCGGCGGCGGCCCCTCTGTCCCGCCGGCCACGGCGGCAATTCGGCGGCAGCTTCTCCCTTTTGCCGTCTGCGGCGGCGGTTTTTTTCACTGCTTGGGACAGCAAAAACTCTAGAGCCGTCCCTGCCGATTGTATCTCCTCTGCACCAATTTGAGCAGGTGTAGACAACAGAAAAGTAACAATTCCAAATCCCAGTCTACCCTAGTACTCCCACTATTGCTACAATCCCACTAGTGGAGCTACACTGTGGCAGTGCAGCAGTGGGAAATCTGAAAAAAAAATGCTAGCAGTCTTTTGTGCCACTGAAGTGTATATGTGATGTCCTAGCATCACATATGGAGTGGAGATGTGGAACCTACTGAGAGGTGATACCCATGCCTTGGGGTCAGGGAGGTTTTTATACGATGCCAGCAGCAACGTGGCAGCATACGTGTGCTTGTGCAGCTTTCATATGGCACCCCAAAATCTTGGCAATGTGCATGTAAGCTTTCACACAACAGCAGCAATACTCTCACAGATCACTTATAAGGGCTTTTCCACAGCAATCCAAGCAATATGATGAGGTATCCTTGGGGAGCTTTCACATGGCCGGAGAGGGTATATACATGCCTGGAGAGTTCACATGGCACTCCCAGCACTATGGAAGTGCATGAATGTTTGCGGCACTTTTAGACACCATGTCCCCAGTAGCGTGGCAATGTTTATATGTGTGAGGAGCTTGTGTGCAGCATTCCCAACCACAGGATGAAAAATGTGTGTAAATGTGAGGCGCTTTCATGTGGCACCCCAAACAAAGTGGCAGGATGTATTTGGGAGGGAGCGCTGCTTTCACAAACTGCCTCCACACTTTGGCAGGAGGAGGGGGTGCCACTTGCCTGGGACACCCCAGCATAATTGCAGGGAGTGTGTGTTTGGCGGGAGAGAGAAAAGGAAGGAGTTTCACACAATGCCCTAACACTACACTTGCAGCACATGGCAGCTTGACATAGGGCTTCATGCTGGCCTTACAACAACAGAGGTGTGCATGGATGTGCTGAGGGCTTCAGGTTGTATCCCCCACACTATGGATTTGGGGGGGGGGTGTTAAAATGCCACCTTTTGCATCTAGGTGGGCGTGAATGCAGGGTGAAAAGGAAGTGCCTATGTAAATGTAGGGACCTTCACAGGCATCTGCTGCACCATAGCAGGGCGAGTGGGGGGGCTTCATGCATGGATCCCATATTGTGGCGATGTAGGTGTGGGGGAGAAATGGGACTTTAATGGGGACTGACCAGCACAACAGCAGCATGTGTGTGTGCCTGTGAGGGGCATACGACATGGTTCCCATCCCGCATGAGGGGGTGAGCAGGGGCCTACACGGTGCATGGGGGGGAGGGGAAAGTGCCCTCCCCAGTATCTCTGAAGTGAGAGGTTCGTAACTGATCAGTCCAGGATACTGGTGAATGTCATGTGCCCAGCTTGTATCTAACGTTGTTACAGCTCCCTCCCGCCAGTGCCCGTGTTTCTGGCCCTGTCACTCACACATGACACGGCCTGGCTCACACCTTCCCTCCCCCCTCACACCCACCAGCCCTTTCTGCTGATCGTCCGCCATTTTGACTCGTTTCCTTCCTCAACTGCTCCGCCCTGCTTCGCCACGGCAGGCTCCTCCCAGAAATTTCACGTTTAGGGTTTTTTTTTCTCCTTTCTCAAATGGGCGAACATTCACCCTCGATCTTTGTCTCGATTTTCGGGACACATTTCGTTCAAAATTTCCCCGCCTCAGTCAATCCCTTCCGGGGTGACGGCCCGGCCGCCCCAACGGCCACTTTCTCGGATAGCCGAAATATCTATTTAGAGGCGCACCCGCCGCGGATGTTTCGCGGCCGCTTCTGTAAAACGCGCAAAGGGATGAAAAATAATAAACTGAAAATGTCGGTTACGGAGAGGGCCCGGCGGTGGCGCGCTCGGACCACCTTCGCTTCCGGGTCAGAAGCGGCCATTTTGTGGCGTTAAGTAGGAGGGCGCGGGCTCCACCTCGCTCATTTGCTAGTAGCGGCGGTAAGAGGCGGGTGGCCGTTGCACTGCATTTGCCCTTCGCCCTTTTCGACCGTATCGCCACCGGGCCGCCTCCGCGGGCTGGGTGCCCGTTTGTCGCCTCTACGGACTCATCACACGGCCTGTAGCTTTCCACCTTTCTGGCCTAAAGTTCGGGGCCCGCTTCGGTGACCATTCCCTAGCGTGAGCGTCCCGACTCTGCTGATCTCTTCGCCAGGTTTCTCTCCTCGGTCCCGCCGCCCCTCGGGGGCCTCTGCCCGCCATGAGCTACGGGCGCCCCCCGCCTGATGTGGAGGGCATGACTTCCCTCAAGGTGGATAACCTGACCTACCGCACGTCTCCAGACACGCTAAGGCGGGTCTTCGAGAAGTACGGGCGGGTGGGGGACGTCTACATCCCCCGGGACCGCTACACCAAGGAGAGCCGCGGCTTTGCCTTCGTCCGCTTCCACGACAAGCGCGATGCCGAGGATGCGATGGACGCCATGGACGGCGCAGTGCTGGACGGCCGGGAGCTCCGCGTCCAGATGGCCCGGTACGGGAGGCCCCCGGACTCACATCACAGCCGACGGGGGCCGCCGCCGCGCCGATACGGAGGTGGCGGCTACGGACGTCGCAGCCGCAGGTGAGAGACCGGCAAGGCAGGAGTGTTAGGTGGGGGGAGGGGCTGCTCTCCCGGGGCCATAGAGGACTTGGGAGGCGCAGGGCTGAGGGTGGGAGCTATGGGATCAGGGGGCAGCGGAGGTGCAGCCTGGGGGAACCAGTGGCCCCTACGTGACGCACTGGGGGAAGGGTGTTTCCTGGTTGGGGAGGCAGGATCGGCGCGAAAACGCAGGCTTACAGAAGCACGTGGTGTCCATGGCGGCGGGGAGCGTCCGGGGGCGGATGGCAGGCTCAGCCCCAGCCCGCTTCCTCGGAATAATGGCGTCTTGTAACCGCCGCGGGGGTGGGGGGACACCTGTTCCACTTCCACCCTGCCCGACCCAGCGCATCACGCCTTTCTCGCGTCTAACCGAGTGATTTTTAACGTTCTAGCCCCAGAAGACGCCGCCGTAGCCGATCCAGGAGCAGGAGCCGCTCCAGGTCCCGCAGTCGATCCCGCTACAGTCGGTCCAAGTCCAGATCCCGCACACGCTCCCGATCTCGCTCCACCTCTAAGTCTAGGTCTGCCAGGAGATCCAAATCCAAGTCGTCATCTGTCTCCAGATCCCGATCCAGGTCGAGGTCCAGATCCAGATCTAGAAGCCCCCCACCAGTCTCAAAGAGGGAATCTAAATCCAGATCCAGGTCTAAGAGTCCCCCCAAATCTCCTGAAGAGGAAGGAGCTGTATCCTCTTAGGAAAATGGTAATGTAGTTGGAACTCGATGCAATTTGCATGTTACTTCCTGATAACACTTAAGTGGGGTGTATAGGGGTAGTTCTTACCATATTAACAACCTGAATCAAGTGAATCCTATTGGGACACACTGTTAGCTCTTTGAGCAGACTTTTCAGTTATTTGGCTAGGGAAATAAATTTCTGCAAAGGACATTTTCATGTTTAGAGATTAATGGTTTGGTTTTAATGAAATATTGTATGAGACGCATCCTATTAATGAAAATGACTATTTCTTGCTGTTTTTTTATCCAACATCTGCATTTTCCCCTTTAAAGCTGCGGTCTCCTGTTTGCTAAAAGAATATTGGCCAGTATTGCAGATTTTAACTGATTTGGCTGATCCTCCAGGGACCAGTTTCTGTGGGCGTGTTTTGGAGCAGGTTTGTCTTTAAAAGTTAAAGATACACTATCCTTTTATAATGGAAAATCAGTTCAGTGGTCATTGTACTGACTGGAGGTAAAAAAAAAAAAGTTCTTATAGAAGTGGCAAATGCAATCCAATAAAAATGGAAACTAGTTTTTCCTCAAATGAACTTTAGAGACTAAGGATATACTGGGTGGGGAAAGGATAGTGTGTCTTTAACCCCTCAAACTGTTTGGTCCTGTTTTTAAAATGGAAATGGGCCTAAGATAGCTGTAAGGTTAAATAATTGTATGTTAAAATTAGTGATACTGTATTGAATGCCAGTTGAAAGATAAAATTAAGTCTTTATAAAGTATCACAAAAATGTTAGTTTCTTATATGGGCTGAATTCAGGTTAAGTGTATGATTTGCAGCCTGATGCTTGCTCTTCACTAACTCAAAGTTTAAACTAATGTGACTATTAAACGCTTCTTCACTATCACCTTCGAATTTCAAATTTGGCCTTTGACTTAGAGGTAATGTGGTGACAAATGGGGGGTGAGGGGGGCATGTGAAGCACTATACATAATCCTTAATAAAACTTAATTAAATTAGGCAAGGCCAGTTGAATCACAACCAGAAGCATACTTGAAGTCGTCCACGTAATTGGGAAGGTGTATAGTGGAAATGTGGCTGAACTGTACTCTCTTCAAACCTAGATGCATCAGATAAATGAGAAGTCTACATAAAGGACACCTCTGGGGGAAAAGATCCTATGCATCTTCAGTCCACTGGAGAGACCCCAGGCGCAAGCAACCAGCTGTTGAAAAGGTTATTTTGTAACATTTTTGTTTTAACTTTTTACTTGTTTAAGTTGAGCCTCAAATGGCAGACTTTACATTTTATGTGCCATTTTGTTGCTGTTATTCAAATTTCTTGTAATTTAGTGAAGTGAACGACTACCGATTTCATTATTGGCTTGGATATTTGAGGTAAATTTTCATTTTTGTTTATATAGTACTGACTTTTGTTTGACTTTTAAAAAACAAAACAAAACTGATGGTAACTTAATTTGTTGCCTCAAGTTTCATGTTGAGGAAACATGCAGCCATTACATGCTGAGTAGCTGACTGTCAAGGAAGTGGTCTCAATTTGCCTTCATTCCTTAAATAAAATTCTTCAAAACTGCAAATGTAAACTTCTTGTAAATGCTATTTACTTTGAATTTAAATAGTATTGTCTATTCCAAATTTGTATAAAACTTTTCAGGTGACAATTGATTTTGAAAGGATTGTTTTATCAGACTAAATTCTAATCTCTTCTCTTATGTATTTTTGTGCACTAGGCGCAGTTGTGTAGCAGTTGAGTAATGCTGGTTAGCTGTTAAGGTGGCGTGTTGCAGTGCAGAGTGCTTGGCTGTTTCCTGTTTTCTCCTGATTGCTCCTGTGTAACGATGCCTTGTCGTGCAGAAACAAATGGCTGTCCAGTTAATTAAAATGCCTGACAACTGCACTTCCAGTCACCCGGGCCTTGCATAAAAATAATGGAGCATACAGTGAGCACATCTAGCTGATGATATACACACCTTATTTTTTCCAGAATGGTAAAATCTTACCAACTACATTTATGAACTTGCATATAAGAAATGTAATGTTAAGAGCAAATGTTTCATTCCTTTGTAAGTACTGATTGGTGTATCCTTTGCTTATGACATTATGTACTATAACCACTGTCCCTGTAGTTACTATTAAACATTTTTCTTGGTGTTAACTTTTCTCAATCTAATGTCTGAGTCAGCATTTATTTTAGCCTGTAACAATCTCAATTATATTGTGAATGTTTAAGGTCTCTTCAGTAACTTATTCCTGTCTACTGCTTTTAACTTGTATCAATAGGGAGTGGCTGTTTCAACACTAATTTTAGTATATCATCTTAGTAACAAACATTTCTTTTTGAACAATACAAACCTTAAATATTGATTGCTTAGGCAAGGTGCCAAGTGGCAGACCTGGTTGCTTGACATCCTGTTTGTTAAAAGAACAAGCAATGAACAACAGTACTTGTTGGATTTGCCTTTGTGCCAGCTTAAAAGTGAAGGTAGATAATATTGTGAGAAGTAATAGTATTTTTGAGCTAGACACCACTGGAGTTGTAATTTCAACCTGCAAACACTACATTAAAAAAATCTGTATCAAAATACTGGTTTAATGCACTTTAGAGATCTTGATTACCTAATCTTCAGACTTGAGAGATATGAATATCAGAGGGCTTGTCTATACTTTAAGCACTTTCAAGATTGCATTCACTTTAAACAGAAACAAGGCGCACTTTTTCCAGTATAAACATCAACAATGGAGTTAATTTTGTGTAGATGTACTAAGATGTCTAAAGTAAATTGTGAGCCCTTAAACTAGAACTTTGTTCCAGGAAAATCTTACTGTTCATGTAATTACATCTTAACTACAGAAAGGACAATGGCATAAAATGAACATTGTTCAGATCCTTAAACTTAAATTGTTTCACTATGTTTAGATCTTAAACTGGAAAACAGGTAAGAAATAACTTTCAGGCTGAACATGTAATAGTCAAGTCCCTAACTAAAACTTTGAAGAAAACCACAACTTGGCCATTTATAAATTCAGCATGGTAAGCTAGAGTATGTAGATGTAACTGTTTTGCTAGAATTTCATAAGTTTGTCTTTCTCCTATTCCTGTGATGCAATTAAAGTAGATGTAAAAATCCTCTTAATTTTATTTTTAGGTACAAACAACTTTTTAGAAGAAAGTCACAACCAAACACTTTCAATGTATCATTCATACAATGTAAGATAAGATGAAATAATTGTTAAAATTACTGTAGTAATCAGTATACCTGCTTTCCCAAAAATAACACTAAAGCCATTAGGGGTATGATAAATGACTTAATAGCATGGGTCTGTGGAGGAAATGCATTCTGGCTTCTTGATCAAGTGGCATTAATTTCCCCAAACTTATTGACTCAACAGATAGAAATGCTGTTTGTCCAAAACTTGCTTGAAGTGGAGTGCAGTCAGATTTGAGATACTTTCTTAAATCAGCAACTGGAATAAACTTAAGTATCACTTGCTCCTGCTAGTGAGATGATCATCATTTCAATGGTATGTCTTCCTGGGAGAGGCGAGCTAGCCAACTGTTCCTTGTCAGCATTAAAAGACCGTAAGGGAACATGAACATTCTTCAGCTTCCATTTGTACAGCAAAGCTTCAATAGACCAGTTAGAACTGAAGGGAAGAAATGGCAGATGTACTGTTTTGATAGAAGTACAATCCTAGTTCAGTGCTTTTTCTATCATTCACCTATAGTGCATGAACAAGTACAGTAACTACAGAAGTGACAAACTTAAAATACAAAAACCTTCTACCCATGTGTTTCTCTTATTCAGTTAAATGGCTTAAGGCCTTTTTTGGGTCAAAACTCTGCCCTTTCCTACATAACTACTGTTACATTGCACTTTGGCATCACTGGCAAAACAAATCTTGCCATCTATGAATTGATAATGCCTCTAATATCACTTCTGTTGTGATGCCTAGAGGAGGTCAATGTTCAGTATGAAGGCAAGGGAGTTGAGGCAGTTTATATAACTGCAAACTACTAATGTAACAGGCTGTACCTCAATGTTGCTTTGTAAACTTGTGAAAGTTAGGGGGAAAGCTGTCTGAACACAATCTAACAGGAGAGCCCTGAACCTGACTGGAGTATCTAGTATTACTGTAACTTTTAAAGGAGTGTCAAGTTTGGATTACTAATTTTGTTGACTTTAGAGCCTTAAAACAAAATGCAAACAAGTCAATTTCTCCTGAGATTACCTTCGGACCTGATACGTAGTCCAGAACTGAGCATCTGGGTTCCTCTTCATCAAGAAGTACACTGTAGTTATAATATCTTCAAAATCTGCATATAGATTTTAAACAATTTGATCTTCTGGTTATGTACATGCTGAAATGTGTTGGCAGATTAACTGCACTAATTAGAATACCTTCAGGAAGCTACAATTGTCTAAGGAGAGCTATGTTTGGAGAATAGTTCTAGAGTAAGCCTTAGAACAACTGTTTGTTAGTTTAAAGTTAGGAATGATAATTTTCAGTTAGCTATTAACTTAATTTTCATCCCCTTTAATATTTTGATTTTTTTTACCATGGAGTTTTGTTCCCTGAAAACTATTAAAGTCAATTAAGCACCCAGATGTGACTTCAAGCATGCATTAATTTGCAGTTGATTAGGGTGTGTTTTCTTGGTGCTGTCACAATTTTTTGCTTCCTCAGAACTCCACTGTTACCAACTTAGTAACTTTGTCACTAGATTGAGTGACATTTTAGTTTCCCTAGCAAGAAAATAAGTGTCAAATCTAGCAACTTTCACTCTGAATTAGTGACATTCAGAGAAAGTCACCAACATCTATAGTCAGTCATTCACAAGTAGCTCAACAGTGGTGTTAAAATCCCTTTCAGACTCTTCCTACTACATTCTGTTGCACACCAAGTCACTGTCATGGCCCAGTTGAGCATATCCTTAGAAGAAATCCTATTCCAGGGCTTGGAAGGTGGGGTGGGATGAGACAGGGCCTTGTGCCTCCAGGAATGAAGCCCTTACTACAGGATCACAGGTGGAGCTGTCTTGTTTTTAGTTGCCCTTTACTCCTTTCCCTGGCTTGGGGTTAGTTGCCCAGCTGTTTCCAGAAATGTGGGAAAGGCATTTGGCTAGTGGATTAGTTTTTAAATCTATTTTCTTGGCTTGCGGTAGCACCAAGGTCAGGTGAATGCCCTCTTCCCCCTGGTTCTGGCTGCTCACCTGGATACCAAGAGGACTAACCTGTGGCTCAAATCCAAGCTGTCAATAAAGGGAGGCTCAGCTGAAATTAACTAACCCTAGCCAGCTTGGTCTGCAGTGTACAGAGTGCCCTTCCCAAAGAGCAGAGGGCACATACCTGCTGATGACAGAATACTGTTGGCAGTTGCTCCAGGTGTGCAGAGTGTAATAAGAGCATGGAATGGATTTTATTAACACTATTGAGCCACTTGTGAATTATTGTGACTATACTCACATACATACATATATAAATTGTTACTCTCAAAATATTGTTTAGTGACATTTTTGAGTACTTAAAACAGCTACATCTAGCAACTTCAGGGTTTGGCTGGTGACTTCCTGCTATGTGGAGTTGGTGACACTGCCATGACTAAATTAAATACTACTGTCACTTAACTTTCTAGAGCTTATTGTTATACATTTAAGACCCTTTTATTTGTTTATGAATAGTCACTAACCTTCTGGTTCAAAAAATACATCAGAGGCTAGAATAATGTCTACTTCAGGCAGAGAGAGCAGATTGGGAGATATTTGGCCCCATGTGAGTCCTAGAATGTGTACCCCTAGAAGGTTATTTATCCGACAGCTTCGCTCACAGTTCTTCAAGCACTGAGGCAGCTCTTCAGTATCTGACAGTATAACTTCAGCCCCACATTTAGCAGCTACTATACCAGGTAGGCTCATGCCTGCTCCAATCTAAATAAAATAAAAGACTTTAATCTCATTCATAAATTATATTTAATGCAAAGGATAACTGAAGGATGGGGGAGTATATTCTGTATCTTGTCTCAAGCTGTTTAATTATGCCATTCTTTAGTTGAATTCATGGTAACTTTAAAATTACATGTTCACCTCTGAACTGCCCTCCTCAGAAGAACAGGACATTTGTAATTGATCTGTAGCAGCAGTGGTACACCACAGATACAAATTTAAGAATGTCATGTATCTTCCCTCTTTCTGTTCTTGTAAATATAGTGAACTGGATGAAATCCTACCTGCTGAAACATGTTATTCACAAAGCTAAATCCTGAAGTTCAAACTTATATTTAACAGGAAGCCCTTTCAATGGCTCATAACTGCTGCTTCCATAAATCAGCCTGCAAAAATCTCTGCTTTAATTTTGGTTTTACTTTATCACTCCTTTGAGTATTTTGGAATTTTTCTAATGTTTGACCAAAAGAACTTGCAAACTGCTTCATGAATCTCCAACCACAAAAAAAGTTACCACAGTAATAATTTTTACATAAATTGGATCAGAGATTACACCATTTTAAGACACATGGGCAGAACAGAAAATAAGAAAAACCAAAAAGCAGATCACTAAGGAGGATCATCTAGAATTATGATAATACTGAAGCAGAAATAGGAAAAAAGCATCCTGCCGCTGACCTAAATAAAAAAGGAAATCAAAACTAAAACTGAGAGTTAAGACACAGTAACCCTGAGCCTACTAATTTTTTTAAAGGTAAGTTTGTATGATCAAAAATCTTTCAAGACTACTTTTACCTCCAAAATTCTCTTGCCAGGTAGCATTCTTCTGTGAAACCATAGGTACTGAGCAAGAACCACAGCACAGGGCCAAACATACATGCCATATTGGGAATCCAGGACCTGAAACAATAAGACCCTTCTATGATCTTTGGCAGCACCACAAAACACTTTGAAAGAGGCAGAAAAATATTACATACGTGCATTTTTACTCTAGTCCTGCTTTAGTCACTCATTTTGAGCCTCATCCTGAGCTATCCCTACTTCAATTGACCTGTTATTTTCTGCTCATATGTAATTGCAAACAAATTGCACATCTCTACAACTAAGTAAGCTATTTTGCATATGGCTAGAGCTTTCCCACTTGATTAGCTAAGGCTCTTGCCTCACACTCCTTCTGGTTAACTTTTCTAGATCAGTAAAGATTTAAGTATGCAGTCTTGTGCTTTATCAGTACAAATTTGAAATACATCAAGCAATGACACTTCTGTCATCTTGCTTTGGGATATTATTCCACAATCTAATGGTCTGGTTCTGGAATCTTCACTCAGTTAAGTAGTCCTATTGCAGCAAAAGAGCATAGGCAGGCACACATTAGTAAGGAATTCAGGATCAAAGGGAATCTGTTACATTTTTTTTCCTGAAATTTAGCCTAGAATTACTTTTTCTTGATTTCATCCCATTTTTCTGTGGTGAAAGATCTCTCCTGTAGTCTTTATTCAGGCAAAACTCCTCTTAAAGTCAATTTGTGCCTAGATCTGGTGATTCAGTGTATTTTAGACCCAATTATGTCTATATCAGTTCTTCACAATTTAAAGAAAATGAAGGCCCTCTGTGTCTACACAGTCGAAATAAATGAATTTACAAATGATTGGGATTGAATAATGGTTTTAGCCTAATTATTACATGGCCCTGAGGAGTCTATACAGGTGAGAACAAACAGGTTATATGGTGCATTTCAGCAACAGCTAAATTTGACTGAGTTGTAGAGATAGGGCCTAAGGCACTTATTGTCAAAAAGGCAGCTCACTTGCAGGGATTCTAAAAAAGTGAGCACTAAATAGGTTTTTTGTTTTCTTAATGCATTCTCACAAATAACATTTTTTTAAAAAGTATTTTCAACCAATTCAAATTGTGCAATAGTTAGAAACCTCAGATGTGAACTATTTGTACAAATTTAATGAATGTAGAAATTCAAAAATAAAACCACTATTTGATCATTACATTCCATAGATTCCATAGTTACTACTTTATCTTTAAGCATCCAGCACAGTAGTATAGTAAATTCTGTGCTAGAACTACACCTGCACTTATGAGCCAAACAATTTGTAAAATTTACTTTCAACTTTCCTAGAATGTCCCATCCCCATCCCCCACTTTATTTTATTTTTTCTAGTAATGCCCAGAGGCCCCAGTCTAGGCTGGAGCCTCCTTATGCTAAGGGCATACAGTGATTTCTGCTATACAAAAAGAAAAGGAGGACTTGTGGCACCTTAGAGACTAACAAATTTATTTGAGCATAAGCTTTCGTGAGCTACAGCTCACTTCATCGGATGCTCACGAAAGCTTATGCTCAAATAAATTGGTTAGTCTCTAAGGTGCCACAAGTACTCCTTCTCTTTTTGCGAATACAGACTAACACGGCTGCTACTCTGAAACCTGTCATTCTGCTATACAGGAGCATATTGTGAGTCTGAATTTATTGGACTGGATAAGCACAAAGGGATACAAAGAAATCCAGGGAAAGAATACAAAATCTATGCCTTTTCGTTGTTCTAAAAAAAAAAAAATCCTGCCCCTCTTTTCCATTCCCACATGGTTCAGCGTTCCTCCTGGCCTCTGTGCCCCCGATCAGGGGAGGCAGGAAATCAGGCTTCACAACGAACTGAAGGGCTACAGGTGTAAATGTATCAGCACCTCAGGAATCAGCACCACCAACTCTGGCCTCGACTCTTCTCTTTCTCGCTTGTCCTGCTCTTCCGCAAACCTGTACTCCTTGATATCGAACCGCGGGCCCCCCTCGCACATTGCAACCACTTCTCCCGCCAGGCGGCTGCTGCCACAATAACGCACGCACTTCTTTCTTCCCCTGTGCTGACTTCACCCATCATCTGACTGACACCATAACAGACCAATCACAGGCAGGAACGTTTAAGGCAGCGTCTTGTCAAGATCCAACCACCATTAGCTGGCTGAGGGGTGGGGGGGGGTCTGAGACCCGGGAAGATAAAATGGCACAAAGGGCCGGCCCCTTCCTTCTTTTAATCCCTTCCCACAGTCTCCTAGCTCCTCCCCAGCAGCGGCGCACGTGCTCTGAGTCGGCTGCTGCAGCGTGACTCTGAAGTTAGGGTGACCAACAGCAAGTATGACGAATTGGGATTTTTTTGGGGAAGGGGGTGTAGTTGCTCATATAAGACAAAGCCCTTAATATTGGGTGATGATCCCGATAACATCCGGAGGTCTGATCACCCTGTGCCTTGCAGGAGAATAAAGCACAGTAAATTTCTGGGCTATTATCCAGGCCCACACCACCCCCGCCTTCCCTTAGGAAAACAGCAAATATTTAAATGGCAGTGGGCATTTGAAGTCCAAATCCTGTACTCCCACTCCAGACTAAACCTTCTGAGTTTTGATCCTGCTCCCTTTGAAGTCAATAGAAGATTTGCAGGCATACGGAATGCAGGATTTGACCCATAGATTATTGCATAATTGTGGTCCTGATTTTTTCTAGGCACCCTAGAGCGGTAGAATGAGCTATTAGTGTATGATGATTTTTTCTCTAGCCAAATACCTGCCCAGAAGAGTTTACTGTCTCAGTTTGTGGGAAGTTACAATAATTAAGGAGTTTGATCCTGTGACAATCATGTGAGAAGTCTTTTACTCCAATAAGCAAATCTGCAGGATCAAGCCTTAAATTAGGTTTAAGAAATGGTCGCTCAAGCTGAAGGTCATGGTCGCCCTCCGTTTCTTCATGAGTAGGTGAGAGAGAGAACCTGGAAATTTTTTCTCTTGTAACATGGGATCACAAAATAGGAAAGATTGAAAACTGCTGATCTTAGTGGAATCATATGGAAGACAGAAAGCCTTTTCTTGCTGTCATTAAAACTCATGCTGATTTCAGTGGGAGTTTTGCCAATGCAGTGTTTTAACACTGTACAATTTTGCCCTAAATTTCCATCTAGTAGGACTTAAAACTATCTCTTGAAATTTATGTTAAAGGGAACTCTGTCTGGAATTCCCTCCTGCAACCCATGATCTCAAGATCTACCCTGGTTTCCATCATTCCATCTTTTTTAGAAGTCTCAATTTCCAAAAACCCAGTGTTTGGGAGCTTTGCACACATCAATATTGTTCTTATGGGGATGATGGCTTGTTGAAAAAGTTTGGGTTTCTTTACAGTGTTTCTGACTGTGTTGTCATTGAACCAATGAAAACAATACAATAGAGACAAACTCAGAGGAACAGTTGTTACAAAAGGTAAAAGCTAATCTGTCACTGTGGTGATTCCACTGGCTACAGACCCCCCCCATTTTAACCCTGCAAAGCCCCATGATAAGCTGAGTCACCTGAGCTCCCCTAGGAGTCAGAGGGAAGGGATTGAGGGTGCTGCTCTGTACATTTAAGCGTCTGAAAAGTCAAGGGGCTGGGAGTGAGTGGAAGTGGAGGAGGATGGAGAGAAGAAGGGAAGGACATCAGGGAGAGCACAGAGAAAGTGGAGCGCGGGGGAACCCGGAGAAGAGAAGCACAAGAAAGGAGGATGGGTGAAGGAGGGAGCGACCCTGCTCAGCCCTAGCTGCCTCCCTTCTTGTCCCCTCCCTACCTCTGACGTTTCCTTCCCAAGATGGCGGCAAAGACCCCACCTCTCCGGGTCCAGCACGGCCAATCATTGCTGGGGATGGGCAGGGGCGCGTGGCGGAAGACACGGCAATGACCAATAGGATCGCGCCGCGGCGCTCGTGGGCGGGGCTCCGGTCTGGCTGAGGTCGAGGTAGCGGCAGGGGTGAAATTTCTCGAAGCCTCCAGGCCGCGGGTTTGGCGGAGTCCCGGGCGGCCCTGGGCCCTGGCCAGGAACGGAGCCGGCGACGGGGCCGGGATTCCCTAGCGGTGCCGGCGGCAGCAGCAGCGGGTCCTGGGGCCTGGAGCGGAGGAGGCGGCTGTCGGGGCCCGTCCGGGAGCGGAGGAGGCGGCGGGCCCCGGCCCCGGGTCGCCGAGCATGAACCACAAGAGCAAGAAGCGGATCCGGGAGGCGAAGCGCAGCGCCCGGCCCGAGCTGAAGGACTCGCTGGACTGGACCCGGCACAACTACTGCGAGACCTTCCTGCTGAGCCCGGCGGCCTGCACGGTGCGGACCGGGCTGGGGGGAGCCCGGGGGTCGGCTCCTGCCAGACCCGAGCCTGGGGAGATGGACGTGGGGGCCGGCCGGGAGGGGGCGCCCAGTTCCAGAGCTGAGCTCCGAAGGGGGAGGGGGGGGCGGACGCCCAGTCCCAGAGCTGAGCTCCTCCAAAAGGGGGGGGGCTTTACGGTGCAGCCTGGCCCGGGGGTGTTGATTCCTTGGCAATGAGATCTCCAGGCTAAACTCGGATCTTGGGGTTAAGAGCCTAGGTCTCTGGTAAAGGAACGGTGGAGCGCCCCCCCCCCCCAAGATGCCCCAGGAAGAAGCACCTAGCAAGGGGCTTGGTGTGTCCCCAGAGCAACCATCCAAGGTTGATGAAGTGAGCTGTAGCTCACGAAAGCTCGTGCTCAAATAAATTGGTTAGTCTCTAAGGTGCCACAAGTACTCCTTTTCTTTTTGCGAATACAGACTAACACGGCTGTTCCTCTGAAACCCATCCAAGGTGTGTGTGGGAACTCGCAAAGGGAAAGATGGGAGACCCCCCCCCCCCCCCCCGGTCCCCTTTAACTGCCCCACATATGAAGAGGAGTGGGGGAGGGGACAGGTGGCTCTGTGGTTCCCTAGAGCAGGGGTTCTCAAACTGGGAGTTGGGACCCCTCAGGGGGTTGTGAGGTTATTACATGGAGGGTCATGAGCTGTCAGCCTCTACCCCAAATCCCGCTTTGCCTCCAGCATTTATAATGGTGTTAAATATATAAAAAAGTGTTTTTAATATATAAGGTTGGGGGGGGGTCTCACTCAGCGGCTTGCTATGTGAAAGGGGTCACCGGTAAAAAAAAGTTTGAGAGCCACTGACCTGGAGGCAGGAGGTTGTACTGGGAGAGCAGCGCAGTGCTGTTGGACTGGTGGTCTAGTACCGTGAAGCCAGCAAATTATTCACAGCTAGAGGTACAGCTGGTACTTTGCAGGCAGCTAAGAAATTACCAGTGCCTGGCCCAAAGAGCTTTAGTCTAAATGGGCATCGTTCAAACTGTGGGAGAGCAGTGGACTGGCCAGATCATGGCAGAGGGTTGGCATGCATCGCGTTGCCTTCTTACAAGAAGTAGCTGCCTCCTTACTTGAGAGAGGGAGAGAGCGCCTCCTGCTGCTCTTCAGTGAGTGTGACTCCTAGAATTCAGGGGTGGAGCTCTCCCCTTCCCAGAAGCTCATCAAGCACGTTTTTGATGCTGGAGTATGAGTGGGGGGAGGGGGCAGGAACTGTAGATAATGGGCAATATGTGGGCTTAAAGGAAAGGAAAATGCTTGGAAATGGAAAAAAGCTATTGTCATTTGGTTAACTGCCCTAGTGCTGCATGATTGTTGCTCCTACAATATTTAACTAGGTGACTTGAAAGGAGAGTCTGGGAGATGCATAGAAACGTCTGAGGAAGACAGGATGGGGGAATCAGAGGATGAATAATAAAAAACAAAATAATAAAAACAGGATTGTTGACAAGGGACTTGGGAAAACCTGTTTTCTTCAGTGGTGTGTATTTTTACTTAACGCAGGCATGCCTACTGAATTCAAAGATAGCTTCTAAATCCCTTCCCCATGGTATCAGGGGGAGGAAAAAATAAATTCTCACATCACAAATAGCAGAGTAAAATGCTGTGCAAGGGGAACTGTTTGCCAGGCTGCAGGCTGTGGATTTCCTTACCTCTAGTGCATCTTGCGTCACCTCTACAGTGAAGAGCATTAAGCAAAATTTAAATATGCTCATATATCTCGTGATAGTGATGTGTGTAGGAGCAGGGACAGAGGCTTATTACATTTGGGAGCTGACAGTGCAGTATTGTGCAGGCGAAGCCTAAAATGGCATGCAGTCTGTGTAATGTCTCCATATCCTCTAGATTTGAATGCAAGTGTATCCTCTAGATTTGCCCATGTAAGTGTAGGCCAGACCTAAGTTGCATCTGGTAAATTTACAAGTTAGATTGACATAGTTACAGCACTCAGGGGTGTGACGAATTCACATCTCAGAGTGCTGTAGCTATGCCAACTTAACCTCTGTGAAGATGCAACTAGGTCAATGGAAGAATGCTTCCATCAACCTAGCTACTGCTGCTTGGGGTGTTGGACTACCTACAGCAATGGAAAAAACCTGTTCTGTCACTGTAGGAAGTGTTTACACTATGGTACTACAGCTATAGTGTAGAAATAATTTTAGGCACCGACCTTTAGAAACTTGGCCTGTGGTGATGAAGACAGTTTGTGGTACATTGCAGTTCTTTTTTCCCAACTGTTCTCTGATTTTACAGGATAATGTGGAAAGGGCAGATGCACTCCACTTATCGGTGGAAGAATTTGTTGAGCGGTATGAAAAGCCTTATAAGCCTGTAGTCCTGTTGAATGCTCAGATGGGCTGGTCTGCCCAAGAGAAGTGGACTCTAGAACGCCTGAAACGCAAGTACAGGAACCAGAAGTTCAAGTGTGGTGAGGACAATGATGGGTACTCTGTGAAGATGAAGATGAAATATTACATAGAGTATATGGAGAACACACGTGATGACAGCCCCCTTTACATCTTCGACAGCAGCTATGGAGAGCACCCTAAACGTAGGAAACTTCTGGAAGACTACAAAGTGCCCACGTTCTTCACTGATGATCTATTCCAATATGCAGGAGAGAAGCGCAGACCACCTTATAGGTACAGTATCCATGGGGTGGCGATGAGATGGGGATTCCAGTTTCTTCTGTCAGTTGCTCATGAGCAAACTAAATTTACTTTGATTATAAATATCTCAAGATTATCATGCAAATACAGAACAGAGAGGAGAAAACTCAGAATAAGGACTCCTGAGTTCTGTTAAGAGCTCTTGGTACAGACTTGCTTTGTGACTTTAGACAAGTTGCTCTGTGCCTCAGTTTCCTCATCTGTAAAATGAAAATAATGCCTACCCCAGAGCCATGTTGTGTGGCTATAAAGTGCCTTTGAATTTTCAAATTATGTTACTGGGGTCAAGTTTACTATTAGTCTTCAATGAGACTTTGGTTGTGCTTAAGCCCAGACCTGCTAAAGCAAGCAGTATTTTAGGTCATGTCTAGATAGGGGCTAAAACTCTACAGCAGCAGTGCTGTTGTAGCTCTTCAATGTAGACAGTATCTGTCTGCAGAGGTAATCCACCCTCCCCTGAGAGGCAGTAGGTAGGTTGATGGAAGAATTCTTCCATCAATCTAATGCTGTCTACACCAGGGGTTCGGTCAGCATAACTGTGTCTCAGGGGTTGTGAATGTAAGTTTCCAATGTAGACCAGTCCTAGGAAGGTGTCAGGTTTAGGTTAGACTTAGCTAGTTCATGTTAGCTCCATATTTCATATAAGCTCTGCCTCTGAAAAGTCAATGGGCTTCTACACTAGAGTTTTTACCTTAACTGTCTATCAATTAACTCTAATTGTCTCAAAGTAGCAAAGTCTTTCCGAAAGCTGATTTAGATGCTCCACACACATTTGGACTGGCCTGCAGTACAAAGTTAACATCGATCCAACTATGTAGCTCAGAGATGTGAACAATTCTTGTGTGGGGCTTTTTGCCATTTCCAGCACTGTCATCTGGTGAGCTGTAGCTCATGAAAGCTTATGCTCAAATAAATTTGTTAGTCTCTAAGGTGCCGCAAGTACTCCTTTTCTTTTTGCTAGTCATAATTGATGATCTCAAAGCATCTTATTGAAATAGTCCTCACAATTCCCTTGTTTGAGTGCTGAATTCATAATCTCTCTTCTGCCCACACAGGAAGTAGAAACCTGCATTTATTTCCTTCTCTTGTGGACATCTAGTAATGATTAACCACACTTAAGATATCAGTATCTAGTATGATAACATTCTTATGTACATTTTCATATACTGTCCCAGACCAATTGAGATCACTAAGGATGGGTGTAACTTTAAACCTTCGAAGCAGTAGTTCTCTGCATGAAGAAAAATGACTTGCACACTTGCATATCTTCCCAATGAGGCTATTGGGGAATTAACTATGACCAGGTAAATGATGCAGTAGTGAATAGAAAGTCAAAAGTGAACAGTATGTGGGTGATGGGAGCTGTCTTAACTTCATCTTCTTATCCCTTACCTGAAGATGGTTTTTGTTTATTCCTCATTGGAACAAGAATTGTAGAACAATACGTCTATAGATGCTACTCACAACCAAGAAAAAGCTTAGAAAAACACAATTACCATTTTATACACCAGGTGGTTTATGCCCTTAAAATAGATATAATCCTAATCTACTGAGAAACAGTTTCTGGTTTCTAAACTATTTTTATTGTAATATAAACAAACCCTTGCTCCAAGAAACTAAGAAAACAATTGCCATTATTTGTATAGGTCCTAGGCAAAAAATGTTATGCACCTTTTGCTGCAGTATTAAACTAACAATCCCTATAGTCAATGCTTTGCTGCAAACTCTGCTTCGGGTGCACAAAGAAATATATAGAGAGCCATGTTAATTTCAGGCTGTGGTAGAAATGGAAGGGAAACATGCTTGCTTAATGGAAAGGAAAGTTCATAGAAGAAAGTAATTATCTCTTGTAATGCACCTGGATGTTTTTTTTCCCCATGTGCAGATGGTTTGTAATGGGCCCACCTCGGTCAGGAACAGGAATTCATATTGACCCTCTGGGAACCAGTGCTTGGAATGCCTTAGTCCACGGACATAAGCGTTGGTGCCTCTTCCCTACCAGCACTCCCAGAGAGTTGATCAAAGTGACGCGGGAAGAAGGAGGGAACCAGCAGGATGAGGCGATCACTTGGTTCAGTATCATATACCCTAGGACGCAGCTCCCCACCTGGCCCGCTGAATTCAAACCTCTGGAAATTGTGCAAAAACCAGGCGAGACCGTCTTTGTGCCAGGTATGTGTGGCTGTCTCCAATGGAAATTTGTAGTAGTATGGGAGAACACATATTTAGATGTATCCTTGTTGAAAAAGTATACACACTTGTCCTCCATTTTCCAAAACTGTACATTGTTTCAAACCATTTTTGTGTTGCTCTTTGAATATCCAAAACATAAATGCGAAGTATGTTCCCCTGTTACAGGGGACTGATGGCATAACAAGCAGGACATGAGACGCACAACATGCAGTGTGTTTGGGAAAGTGATCCTGAACTAAACTATACAGTGAGGAAGTAATCAAAGCATGAAAGAATAGAGGCCTTTGAAGACAAATAACTTTCTCTTATTCTCTGTTTTCTTGGGGTTACTGACAGTGTAACAAATGACAGGGTTTGTGAGGTGTGAGGAAAGAGTTGTGGAAAGATGCAGACAGATCCCATCCATCTTAGTTTTTCCACAACTTTAATTTCAAATGAAAGATTATGCCGTAGCTTCTAAAAGTGTCTCTATTAAAAGGGCATAGCATTTCTATTAATACTGCACTGAGTCAAAGGATTACAGCTTTCCAATAGGGGCTTATGTACAGGGGAAAATTCTGGAATAAGAGAGCTAGGGAAAAAGCCTGCAGGCAGTCTTCTGTATTTGGTCGTCATATGGGGAAGATGTCGGAGTGTGAGTGAAGGGACCCCCTAGTATGAAGGTTTGACAATCAGGGTTCAGAAACTCAAAAGAAGAACCGAAGGTTTAAATCCCTAAAATGAGCGGTTGAACCAACTGATTGTATACTGTATTATTGTACTATAAAAGTATGTCAGTACAGCCTTTTATGGAGGCTTATAGTGTTCTGAACTTGATTGTCATGAGATGTGTACAACTGTGGTTTTGACTTTATAATATACACACAAATTCATAACCACAGAAAGGTCTTAATATACATACAACCCCACCTCTTAATATGGGCTCCATTAGCTATCGTTGATTCTAGCTGCAGAGGAAGGATATTTCAGTGGTTAGGGCCCTTGCCTGGGACTTGGGAGAATCAAGTTCAGTTCCCTGCTTTGGCACAGACATCATGTGTGACTTTAGGTAAGCCACTTAGTCTCTTGGTGCATCAGTTTTCCATCTGTAAAATAACAGCACTGGGGTGTTGAGGGAAAATGTGTTAAAGACTGCGAGGTGCTCAGATACTGTGGCGATAGGGGCCATATTAAGTATCTTAGATAGATGTATCTACAGTACTTTAGGTAAACGATATAAAAAGTGTATTTAAAAGTTGCTCTTGCATTGCATTTTGTAGGTGGCTGGTGGCACGTAGTTCTCAATCTCGATACAACCATTGCCATCACACAGAACTTTGCCAGCTGTACCAACTTCCCTGTGGTATGGCACAAGACAGTAAGAGGGAGGCCGAAATTATCAAGGAAGTGGTACAGGTAACGGTGCAGTAAATTCTGTTCCTATTTCTGATTTCCAGGTAGTTGAAGGGATAGTCCAAACACTTCTTTCAAAGCGAGACATGCAGCTGGAATAACACTAACAGTACATACTCACATGTGACTTTCTTGGGGGAAAAACACATTGTGTCATTTTAAAGACATGTTTTCTAAACTATGGCCTGCTTTTTAGAGCAACTTTTCTTGGCTCCCTCCCCTATGAGTTGGTAGCTTAGCCTTGCTGTTTGGGGAAGGATCTGATCTGGATTTCACCTCTCATGGAGCTGACTTGATGCGTTCAAGTGATATGCATGAAACTCAGATGATGCAATCTGAAAATTCTTTGCCAAGCATGATAAAATGTAGAGGCAGTAGGTTAGTAAACTAATGCCCTAAGTCAGGGATTCCCAAAGTGTGGTTCATGTTCCACGGGTGCTGCATGTGTTTGATGTTCCATCAGTTACTTCACGGTTTTTTTAAGAAGGTGGTACGTGATCCAATGTACTGGGAGTTGCTGCCCTAAGCATTTAAGGGGAATGTAGTACTGGTGAAAGGATTTACGTTAGCGGGCGTAGAGATGGGAGTTCTGTTGTTTGCCTTGAAGATTGAAGTCTGCTATCCCCTGGAAGGGATGCATCTTTTCCCCTGATCTGAAGAGATTACTACCATGGTGAGAGTATCTTCTCCCTTTCCATTCACTCTCTGGCTCTGCAGAGACCACCACCAATGAGGCTAATTGTGATGTGGTTCTTGTGACATGGACGCTGCTCTAGTGGGAGGAGCTGAGATTCTGCTAACTAGCCATCAGGTAGCAACAACTTTAGATCACTGTTGAGGTGACTCATGTTTATCCATTTAATCTAGAAGTGAAAGGCTTCATATGTCTTACTGATCTCTAGAGCTGTCTAGTGGCCCGAGCTAGCATCTTATGGAAACCTTTAAATTCAAGGTATTTTTCTCACCCAGTAACCTCTGAATATAAGCACAGTTTACTTCTAACTACTTTAAGAATAATTTTAAAAAAGCAACTCCGTTACCACTGCTAATTCTATCCTCCCTTCTGGAGGACCTTATTGATATCAAAACCTTGTTAATGTCCTCTACTCTGATATTCTGTGTTAGAATATTAAATTGAGGTAAAATAACTATGGAAACTATATAAAAAGCCATCAAAGCTAGAGTGCAGGAAGTTGCACAATGTTAGGTGATGCACCTTACTAGCGAATCATTGTCTGTTGCTTTTTTACTAATGTGGCAATGGACAGATTTTGTGGAGTATGCTAGTGTAAATTAAAACATTCTTTTGTTTCTCATTATGTGTTCTAAATGCGAATCATGATGGTTGTGTTTAGGATCCTAAAACAAGAGCATCCTGAGCTGGCAGTGTTGGCTGATTCAGTTGATCTACAAGAATCAACAGGTATTGCTTCTGATAGTTCCAGTGATTCCTCCAGTTCCTCCAGCTCCAGCTCCTCAGACTCTGATTCAGAGGTAAGGATTTGCCACTGCAAATGACCCTTAGCCTATGACTACGCTACCCTTTTCAACCAGTTGCCACGGAGTGTGGGGGAGTCTGGGCCCTGCACCCCTGTTCCTGGGATTCACCGTGACTCTCAGCCAGCCAGTAAAGCGGAAGGTTTATTGGACAATAGGAACACAGTCTAAAACACAGCTCGTGGGTACAACCAGGACCCCTCAGTCAAGTCCTTCTGGGGGGCAGGGAGCTTAGACCCCAGCCCTGGGGTTCCCTGCGTTCCACCACCCAGCACCAAACTGAAACCAAACACCCCCCCCCAGCAGGCTCTCTCCTGCAGCCTTTGTCCAGTTTCCCGAGCAGAGGTGTTGCTTCCCCCTCCTGGCTCAGGTTATAGGCTCTCAGGTCTCCCATCCCCAGTGAAACTCTCCTGCCACATTCGCAGGTCAACACTCCATCCTTCCTGCTACGTCACATCTCTCCCCTCTTCGAGACTGAACTGAGCGGGGTCACTCTGACCAGTGACCTGGGGAAGTTCAGGGCCCCCTCTCTGGGACAACGCATCCGCTATCATGTTGGCACTTCCCTTCACATGGACCACGTCCATGTCATAATCCTGCAGGAGCAGGCTCCACCTCAGGAGTTTGGCGTTGGCTCCTTTCATCTGGTGCAGCCAGGTCAGGGGAGCGTGGTCGATGTACATGGTGAAGTGTTGCCCAAAGAGATATGGCTCTAGTTTCTTGAGGCCCACACCATGTCCAGGCATTCCTTCTCGATGGCCGCGTAGTGTTGCTCCCAGGGTAGCAACCTCTTGCTCAGGTACACGATGGGGTGTCTCTTCCCCCTTTTCATCCTCCTGCATTAACACCGCCCCCAGTCCCGTGTCTGTGGTGTCAGTGAACGCCATAAAGGGCTTGTCAAAGTCTGGGTTTGCCAGAACTGGGCCACTGACTAGAGCCTCCTTCAGCGCCCAGAAAGCCTCCTGGCACTGCTCAGTCCACACCACCTTGTCTGGCTTCCCCTTCTTGCACAGCTCGGTGATGGGGGTGGCTATGGTGCTAAAGCAGGGCACAAACCTTCGATAGTATCCTGCCAACCCAATAAAGGCTTGGGACCTGCTTTTTGGTGTGGGGAGCGGGCGAGTCTCTGATCACCTCCACCTTAGCTGGTTCCAGCATTAGGTGGCCGCTACCCACCCGATGGCCCAGGTAAGATACTTCAGCCATCCCCACCTTGCACTTCTCAGCTTTTATGATCAGCCCAGCCTCCTGGAGTTGGTCCAGCACTTGTCTAACCTGGGACACATGGTGCTCCCAGGTCTGGCTAAAGACACAGATGTCATCAATATATGCCACAGCAAAACTTTCCATCCCCTTCAGTAGCTGATCCACCAGGCACTGGAAGGTGGCTGGCGCTCCCTGGAGGCCGAAAGGCAGGGTCAGGAACTCATAGAGCCCCAGAGGGGTGATAAAGGCTGATTTCAGCCGGACATCTGCATCCAGCGGCACTTGCCAGTATCCCTTTGTAAGGTCCATGGTGGTAAGGTATCGAGCTCCTCCCAATTTGTCTAGGAGCTCGTCAGGCCTGGACATGGGGTAGGCATCAGATACAGTGATGGCATTGAGCTTCCGATAGTCCACACAGAACCAGATCAACCTGTCCTTTTTGGAGACCAGCACCACTGGCGAGGCCCAAGGGCTGGCAGATGGCTGGATCACCCCCAAAGCCAGCATGTCCCTGACCTCTCTTTCCAGGTCCTGAGCAGTTTTCCCTGTGACTCGGAAGGGGGAGCATCTTATCGGCGGGTGCGATCCTGTCTGCACCTGGTGGACCGTCAGATTAGTGCGTCCAGGCTGGTTGGAAAACAGCTGTCGGTACGGATGCAGCACCCCCCTGATCTCAGCTTGCTGGGCAGGAGTTAGTTGATCCGAGAGAGGAATTGTTTCCAGCGGTGAACCAGCTCTGGTCCCAGGAAATAGATCTACTAACGGGTCATCTCCCTGCTCCTCCCAATGTCCACACACGGCCAAAACCACATTCCCCCTGGGATAATATGTGTACCCGGTTAGACAGCTCCACCACATAGTTTACCTCATTTAGCTGCTTGATAACCTTGAAAGGGCCTTCCCAGGCGGCCTGTAGTTTATTCTTTCTCACAGGGATGAGAACCATCACCTGATCCCCGGTGGCGTAGGCACGGGCCCACGCCGTGCAGTCATACACCAGACCTGCTGCTTCTGGGCTCTGGCCAGATTCTCCCTGGCCAGGCCCATGAGTTCAGCAAGTCTCTCTCGGAAGATCAGGACATACTCTACCACTGACTCTCCATTGGGAGTGGCCTTCCCCCCCCATTCGTCTCTCATCAGGTCCAGGGGGCCCCTTACCCTCCTTCCATATAACAGTTTGAAAGGCGAAAATCCGATAGACTCTTGGGGTACCTCCCTGAACGCGAACAGCAGGTGAGGTAAGTACTTGTCCCAATCCTGCGGGTGCTGGTTCATAAAGGTTTTCAACATCATCTTTAGCATCCCATTGAACCTCTCCACCAGCCCATTGGACTGGGGGTGATAAGCTGAGGCCCAGTTGTGCCAGACCCCACATTTCTCCCATAAGCACCGGAGCACGGCCGACATGAAGTTGGATCCTTGGTCTGTCAAGACTTCCTTGGGGAACCCCACTCGGCTGAAAATGGTCAGGAGCGCATCTGCCACGGTGTCTGCTTCAGTGGAAGCTAAGGGCACTGCCTCGGGGTAGCGGGTGGCAAAATCTACCACCACCGGAATGTATTTCTTCCCCGACCGGGTCGTCTTGCTGAGAGGTTCCACTGTGTCCATGGCCACCTTCTGGAAAAGCTCCTCTATGATGGGCAAAGGTCTCAAAGGCGCTTTCCCCTTGTCCCAGGCCTTTCCCACCCTCTGACAGGGGTCGCAGGATCCGCAATACTGCCGGACAGTGGTAAAGACCCCAGGCCAGTAAAAGTTCTGTAGCAACCTCTGCCGGGTGCGCTGGATTCCCTGGTGCCCTGAGAGGGGGATGTCATGGGCCAGGTACAGTAGCTTGCGGCGATACTTCTGGGGGACCACCAGCGGCCTCCTGATCCCACAGGACTCCACTTCCCCTGGGGGAGCCCATTCTCAGTACAGGAACCTCTCCTGGCAACCTCTCCTCATGGTCCATACCACAATGAGGTCGGCCAGGTCCCTGAGCTTCCGCAAGGAGGGATCTTTCTGCACCTCGGCCTGGAACTCAGCGGCTGGGGAAGGGATGGGGACCGGTTCCCTCTCGCTGGCCAGGTCTGAGGCTACAGCCTCTCTGAGCCATGCCCCTCTGTGCTTCCTCCCCATTAGTGTAGGGTCCTGCGCCTCCGGTGTGGTACCCTCCCCAAGGTCGGGCCGCAGTGCCCCTCGCCGGCTCTCACTACAGATCACAACCAGGGCATTCTGGGGGTTGCTTGGCCAGTCCTCTAGGTCCCTCCCCCCATCAAAACCTCAGTGGGCAAATGGTGGTGCACCGCCACGTCCTTGGGGCCCTCCTTGGCCCCGCATTTCAGGTGTACCCTTGCCATGGGCACCTTGAATGGGGTCCCGCCCACCCCTGTCAGGGTCAGGTAGGTATTGGGCACCACCCGATCTGGGGCCACCACCTCAGGCCGGGCCATCGCCAGTATCCATTGACCTTCCTCCCATCCACCTCGAGGGGAACAAGGCCCTCTCTCCAGAGGGACAGCCCCTCGCCCACCCTGTAAACTGGGAACCCTGAGTCCAGAGCATCCAGCACTCTGGAGGAGCTGGCCTGGGGTACTCTTCCCTCCTGAGCAGGTGGAAGCTGGCAGCCCCCCTTGCCTGGGCCATCTGCCCCTCGTCCAGCTGCGTCCCTACCCAGTTAACCCTGTGTAGGTTGGGTCTGCTCAGTCTGTCCCTGAGCCTGGAGCACTGGGTCCATACGTGGCCTCTCTGGCCACAGTGATAGCAGCTCATGTCACGTTGGTCCCCTCGAGCAGGTCGGATGGTCCTGACGCCATGCATTACCCTTGGGAGGGGGTTCTCCATATTTCCCCACTGGGAGGTCCCATGGTGACTCTCTCTCTACATTGTGGGGGGCCTGTTCTTTTGGGACTCCTCCCTGCTACCCCCGACCGACTGTTCACAAACTCGTCGGCCAGCTGCCCTGCATGCTGTGGGTTCTCTAGCTTTTTGTCCACCAACCATAGCCTCAGGTCAGAAGGGCACTGTTCATATGTACAGTTAGGTCAAGCAGGTCCCCTTTAGCTTGGGCCCCAGCTGTCCACTTGCGGACATATCCCTGCATTCGGTTGACCAGTTGTAGGTATGTGACCTCAGGCGTTTTACACTGACTCCGGAACCTTTTCCAGTAAATCTCGGGGGTCAGCCCAAACTCACAGAGCAGGGCCTTTTTGAACAGTTCATAGTCCCCTGCATCTGCCCCTTTCATTTGGCTGTACACCTCCAAGGATTTGGGGCCCAGTAAGGGGGTGAAAAACTGGAGTCTGTCTGCAGGGTCAACCCTGTGCATCTAGCAGGCATTGTCAAAGGCCGTCAGGAAGCTATCTATGTCCTCCCCCTCCTTACGCTGGGCCAGGAAGCACTTATTAAAGCTCCTTGCAGTCTTGGGTCCCCCCTCACTCACCTCAGCCGGGGCCCCACTACTCCTCAGTCTGGCCAGCTCCAGCTCATGCTGTCTCTGCTTCTCTTCATGCTGCCTCTGTTTCTCCTTTTCCTCCCGCTCCTGCTGACGCTGCTTTTCATGATCCTCCAGCTCCCTCATTTTCATCTCCCTCTCCCATTCCAGTCGCCTCTGCTCCAGGGATGAGGAGCTCCGCCGGGAGGATCCCCTGCTGGCTGCTGGGGTCAGGGTGCCCTCAGTATTCACTGGGCTTCCCATAACCCCTCCCCTAGGCATAAGTAGGAAGGGTCGCGGGAGGTCCTCGGCAGCAGTCTAACCCCTCTCAGCCTGGTCAGGCCCCAGGGCCCACGCTGCATCCACCGGGCGGCTTCCCTCAGGGACAAGGATCGAGTCATCCAAGTGATCCTTCTCCTCCAACTGGGCAATCAGCTGTTCCTTGGTGGATCTCCCAATGTGCAGCCCCCTCTGCCTGCACAGCTCCACCAGGTCACTCTTAAGGCGTTTAGCATACATTTCCCTGCTGGCCACTCGCAGGCCTGTGCAGCTTTTCACGGGTTCCAGGAAGAACTCGTAGGGTGCCAGTCCTTCTTGAGGTCACCATCTCTTTGCCAGGGTCAAGCTGCAGACTCCTCCACCCCTGGGACCGCTCGCTGCAATCCACCAGGGGACCCTGTTACTGCAAAAGTCCTTCTCTGTGGTCACACGCTCCCAGGGGTTAACCACCCCCTGAAACCGTCCCTCTCTGAATCTTCAGCACGCCTGGTCCCCGTCAATCCCCCTTCGTTTTACTCTTCCCCAGGCACTTACTGCAGGAAGCGCCATTCACGGGGTGCAGTACATCCTACTTCTGCCACCAGTTGTCACGGAGTGTGGGGGAGTCCGGGCCCTGCACCCCTGTTCCTGGGATTCATGGTGACTCTCAGCCAGCCGGTAAAGCGGAAGGTTTATTTGACAATAGGAACACAGGCTAAAACAAAGCTCATGGGTACAACCAGGACTCCTCAGTCAAGTCCTTCTGGAGGGGCAGGGAGCTTAGACCCCAGCCCTGGGGTTCCCTGCGTTCCAGCACCAAACTCAAACCAAACCAAACCCTCTCCTGCAGCCTTTGTCCAGTTTCCCGGGCAGAGGTGTTACCTCCCCCTCCAGGCTCAGGTTACAGGATCTCAGGTCTCCTATCCCCAGTGGATATCCCCTGCCACGTTCCCAGGTCAACACTCCCTCCTCCCTGCTGCATCACACCAGTTGTCGAAGGAGTCATGTCTGTTTCTTTTCTAAAAATACATACCATCTCCCTGACTCGCAACTCTCAAGTGGGTTTGAAAATAACTGTTGAATAAATGTTAGACTCCAAAGTTAAATCCGAAATTGCAGAGGAAGCTAATAGTGTGCAAGTATAAAGCAAAGAACTGGACCAGTGGGGATCTTGGTGAAAGCTTTAGTCTTCTGTGAGGGGTGGTCCACTCCTCTTGCCAAAACAAACTTGGCTATGAGATGTTCCTGATTCTCGGGACCACAGGCTCTTTATGCTTTTATGCTTAATGTACTTTGTGCTGCTGCTTTCACCATCTTTCACTGGCTTCCCATTTGTTTTGGCATCCAGCTCCTTGCAGATCATCTTCCCTTGCTTTTAAGTTGCACAGATGTACTCCTAACTTCTTTGAGACCTTGTCACTTCCATGAATAGGGATTTGTGTAGGCCCTGCTACCTCTCTCCGGCCAGACAGTGTCACGTTCTGACACCTGGAAACATTCTTTTCATTTTCTCTCCCATCCTTCAAACTTTCTTCTTTTGTCACTCAGTAGCTATATCTATTAACTTACTCTTATTAAATGTCATAACTAATTCTCTCAGGTGTTCAGAGGAAACTGAATGAGAGATTCTCGTCCAAAAATCCTTACCGGGAGGGAGGGTGAGTTTGAGTTCCCACCAACCTTTACAGCCTTTGAGAAAATTTGACTAGTTTAGTACTTGCACAGCACCTTTCACCTGAGGTTCTTTATTGACTTTACAAATATGTATCTAGCCTTAAACAAACAAGTAAAACTATCCTTATTTTATAAATGGGGAACAAGGCCACAGATTTAGGGCCAAGATTTTTTTTTCAAACGTGACTAGTGATTTTGGTTGCCCAACTTGAGAGACACCTTAAGTGACTTGACGTCTCAGAAAGTTCTGAGCACTCAGTCTGAAAATCAGGGGCTTTTGGGTGCCTGATTGGAATACCTGAAAATCTTACCTGAAGTGTATTGCAGTGAGTTGCAGGGCAAGGAACAGATCTGGAAGTCCTAGTTCTTAGTCCCTTACTCTAAACATGCTCTCGTGGACAGGAATTTTGATGTTTCAGGGAAGAATATGCACGATAACTTCTCTGGTGACTGTACTAGCACAGGTGTGGTTCGCTGTCAGATCTTCTGAGTAATAACTGAAGATTTGTATTTCCCTATATCGATTAGTTCTGTCATTTTGTCTTTCTCTGTATTTAGTGTGATTCTGGCTCTGAGACCGAAGGGATGATGCATCGGCGGAAAAAGAGGAGGACTTGCAGCATGATGGGTAATGGTGACACTACCTCTCAAGATGACTGTGTGAGCAAAGAGCGCAGCTCCTCCAGGTGACCAGATGTGACAGCTCTTTCTTTTTCCAAACAAAAGACATTTTAATGCAGAGATGGTAGGGTTAGGTTAGGCTGTTCCATCGTGCATGGGATGGGGGGGGAGGATGAGGGGACTATCTAGATTGTGAAACAGCTTACCACTGGTGATATCCTCTCTCCTCTCCCTCCTTCCCCAATTCTAATTACATTGGCCTGCTCCAAACAGGAACCTAAGATCTTCTCTTTAAAAAAGAAAGTACCAAGGAGAAATTTTACATTATTTAATAAACAGTTTTTTATAACTTTTTTCTAATCATTTTTTAATATAGAAGGAATGCTCCAATTGCTGGGGGTGGCCTTGGGAGTAGCGGGGCATTTTGTGGGGAAAGTGGAATGTCCGATTCTGTGCCACTGAGGAGCATAATTGTGTGGTAAATTGGTAAAGGGAGGAATAACCAGCGTAGAACAAGTCTTGATCACCTGATTGTCCAAACTGAAAAGCTTCAAGCAACTACATACTTAGTTTTTCCTACTTCACTGTTGCCTGGACTACTTCAGTTCTGCCTACTATTCTGTTTTTGTAAGGATTAACAGATTATAAATTTCATTCTAAGGCCTTGTTGCTTTAACACTTTTAAAAAAAAGAAAGAAAGGGAAAAAAAAAAAAAAAGGAGCTGTGCCCAAGACTGAGATCTTAGCTGATTTGTGGAGGGGGACACTTTAAATAAATGACAACAGAATTCACTTGGTGTGAATTTATTGGGACATGGTCCTTTCTCCCATCCATGGACTCTAACGTAAGGAGGATCGGAAAGTGTTAGGCATTTGGGAGATATTTACTACTAAGAAGCTGTGGCAAAATGCTGGATTTAGAAACCATCCTGCTTCTGAGCAGTTGTCGCTGATTCCCTTGGGTAGAAGGTACAAGCTAACCACACTAAAGTGCTGCTTGTGCCAACCCCCTCACATTCATTTATGCATCCTCTAATTCATCACAGACCTTGGGTTGCTCTGAATCTGTCTTTTGGTTGTAATCTCTGTGATGAATTAACATAAAGATGCACATAGTACTGACCCAGCTGGAGGAGCCTCGCTTCCGAGACGCAAGTGTAATGTGCCCGTGTAGGCCCCTGTCTGCTCATTTAGTGTATATATGGCTATCTAACTTTAAGGGATACAGCACTCAACTTCTCTAGTCTTTGAATAGAGTCAAAACACCAAACTATCCTTAAACGTTTAGAGTTAACTGAACAAGCATCTTATTTCCCAGCTGAGGTTCTAATCCCCTTTTATGATACTGTCCATTTCAGTTCTAGCAGCCAGTTCTGACTTCAGGCTGAGAATGAGCAGCAGAAGCTAATGAACACAGATCCTGGTTTCCTAATCTCTTAGAAATGCAAGCTATATTGCAGAGCCTTTCTGCATTTTTTCAGCCTCCTGCAGTGAAAACATTCATTTTAATATTTGGTATATATTACAAAAGACTAATAAGTTAGCACCTTGTCCAAGAGCCCCTCTCTGTTTCCCAGATGTCTCTTCCAGGCCTTTCTGTGTTGCAGCTCATGATTTGCTTGTTACCTCTGCCAACTCCTTAGATGACATTGTAGTGCTGGCTGGGGTTTCTGCTGCAGTTGTGTTGAGGAATACCATCAATATAAGCAGAATTGTTTCTAAGCCTTGTCAAACACCTCAGCAGCTTTATTTAAAAAAAAAAAAAATGTAGTCCTTTTCTTTGGCAGCATCCTGCTGTCTTGCATTGTGATACTGGAGGAAAGGTTATCGTCATGACAGGCAGTTGTACTTTTTTTGACAGGATTAGGGAATCTTGCGGAAGCCGCACTCACCCCTGAGAGATAACAAGAACCGTCTAGAGGCAGCTGCCACTCGAAGCTCCGTTAGCAGCCAGTTTTGTTCTACCCCTCTCAGCTCCTATCTACTCTTATGATCCTTCTCAAGTCTTCGCTGCTACTTTGATCCAAACTCCTATCTTCCACCATGTGCTGACTAAAGATGACTCCTTGCTAACTATTGGGGAGAATTCCCAAGTCTAAATGACTGTGCAATGCTTAGTGCCCTTCTGTACCCCCAAAAAAGTGCACTATATGATCAGAAAATAACCCAGCTCTGGGCAAGGACATGCCATGTGTCTTACAGTTCGTGAAGTTGGCAAGGAAAGCAGTCTGATACCTGTTTTTAAAGAACTGTTTTAAAACCAGCAGCTACATCCAGAAACCTACCGTGCTTTGACGTTGTCATACATTTACATGTACTGCACGTGTTGAAACTAGGAGAGGATCTCAGCACCTTTGCTCTACACAAACATCCAGTGTATATTGTACCAGAGTGCTGGAAGGGAGACTAACTCTGTTATATACTCTGAACACCGAGGTGACTTCAAATGACTAGAAATGGCTATCTGTGAGAAGCATCTTTTGTGGTCATATTAATCTGTGTACGCTCTGACTAAATCCAAATAGTCTAAGATGTGACACCTTAACCAGCAATGATCATACGTACTTCTGCTTGGTACCTGCCATATTAAGTATAAAAGAGATGAACTGGCACTTGGGTGTAGTATTGGGACTTGAGGGAACAAGAGATGAGTGGCTTCTTGTATAGTAGAAGCCACTGAAAGTCACCATCTATCAGCAGTTACCCATGAACCTTAGGTGTAGGGGGAAAACTACATAACTGAATTACAGACTTCATTCAGCCCCAGAAAGCAGCTGTCTCTTTGAGATCATGTGTTTAGGAGCTGAGCAGCACTTGCTCTGGAATCTGTAAAAGAGTACAGGAGGGGTGAGTATTTTGTCTTAAACATTTTAAAATAACACGTGATGCTTGGGTTCACACAGCTGCAGTGGTATTGTGCCAAGATAAACTCTCATCCCCAAGCAATCTACTAGGATGGTTGATATTAATTTACCAGGGCCCGTGCGTTAAAGCTTTCCTATAGCCTGCTCCCAGCCAGAGGGAGGCTGTGCTTGTGGGGGAGCGGGGAATAACATCTTTCGCTGATACAAAGAACACCGCACCCAAGAGCCAGCTACTTGGGCTGTTTCTCTTTGCACCCTCATTTCAGTTTTGCTGTTTGGGAGGGGGAACTGAAAACAGAGGGGCAGTGCACTCTCTCTCATATAAGCTGCAATGCCTAGGCATTAGTGCAGAGGTCTTCAGTAATGGGGCACGCCCTCTGGGGGGGGTGCAGTGGGGACCCAGACCAACCCTCACAGGGGGTGTGGAGGGAGTGCTGCCCAGCTCTGCTCCTGGTCTGTGCCTGGGGATCTCCTGGCTGCCAGCCCTGTGCCTGGGGATACGCTCCCAGACACAGCTGCTGGCCCCACATCCGGGGTCCTGGCTGCCCGCCCAGCCGTGGCTGAAGGGGGCATGAGGTAAAAAGTTTGGGAATCACTGCACTAGTGGCTGAATTAAAATGCAGATTGGCAACCTTAACTGTGAATTTTCTGTATACAGTGTATTAAGTAGATCCCCTGAATGTTGGTTTTTAACTTGTCCTTTACTATTTGTGTTCCCTCTCTCGTCTCAGGATATGACTCAGTCTGTTGTAAAAGCGAGCCCTACTTATTTTGGTTCATCAGCAGTACAGACCTTTGTTTCCAAGTCTCCTTTGTGCCAGTCACTTTTATGTAGCAGAGAAGTGGGAGGGAGTTTGGAGGTGTGAGGCAGGTGACTCATCAGTGCATCCCTAAGCAGGGAATCCAAGGGGTGCATTTGTGGCAATGGAACACAAATACGCAGACTTCTCTTCAAAACTGCTGCAGTCTTTCCTGCAGGGGGACCCTTCCTTAAGGCTGCTTAGATCTAAAGACGGTTTTGTGTGAAAATATCCAGATTCCCTGGCCAAGGATGCCTGTAGTCTGCCTAGCTCAGGGGGTACATTGGCAGCTTGCCCAGAGCCTGCATGCTGCATATTATCTTCATAAAATGGAGCAGGCTGCAGCTGCTATCACTTAGAACAAGATAGGGGGCTGCGGTGGCTACAGGATTAGAGTATCCCCCTCCTAATGGCAAGGGTTAACCTGGATTATAAAGCTCTCATGGCTGCGGTTTCGGCCATTGCCTGGCTCTGAGGTGGCTAGCCGTTGCCTTCATCAGCATGGTTACAGCTGTGCCTCATCTTATTATTTTACTGTATGAAAGAAGTCTGGGCCTGAGCACTTGAAATCTGTTGTGGGGAAACCAACCTGCCTCCCACTGCCAAGAAAGCTGCTCCTTTTCTAGCAATAGCAGTCTGATGCTCCAGAGGGCAGAGCACTTCTCCATGCCTATGAACGTATCAGTGGTGTGACAATAAAGCTGTCATTTAAAATGGACACAGTCTCCTCGTATTGAATGGTCTATAAGGTAACATTTGAAACTAGCAATAGGAAAGGTAATGTCAGCAACTGTAAGATGACTTCCACAAAGCCATCTCTTGCCTCACCTGAGAAGCAATGGCTCTGTTCAGGCAGTCTGGTACAAGGGCTGGGATTCTGAACTAGAGCTGCTCGAATGTTCTTCATCGGAACAGGTTGACTTTGCATAGAGGTATACTGGGTTTCATGAAAACTTTGTTGGGAAGTTTCCTCAAGTCTAGGGTGGAATTTTTACTCAAAACCAGAGAGACAGACCCAGAATAGCCAAGGCACTCACCTGAGATGCAGGAGACCCAGATTTAAATCCCTGCTATGCCTGATAATAGGGACTTAAACCTGGGTCTGCTACATCTCAGGTAAGTGCCCTAATCACATGCCTATAGCACCAGGCACTAATCTGCTGAATATTTTATGATTTATACAAAGTGGAATAGCTTCAGCAGCAGAGCGAAAGGGACTGACTAGCCTGCTGGAATGTGAACCTCAGCATTTTTTGTGAAACAGAATTCTTGTTTTCCAGCCAACCTTACTCAGGACTGCTGGGTTGTGTTCTTAGGTCCACCACTTTCATGCTGTGTGACTTTGGCCAAATAGCTTAACCTCTCTATGTGTTTGGTGTCCTAGCTATAAAATGGCAATAATACGTACCTTGCAGGGGTGTTGTGAGGCTACTTTGAATTAATGGTTGTAAAACACTTTGATTCTTCTGCAAAAGATGTTACAAATGACTGACTCTGGTTAAGCCCCTATTAAGCAGGCTAGACACTTCTTTCTAAACTGTCACTAGGTCCTCCCACTAACAAGTGCTACAGTCACAAAGGTTCAATGCTTCTGGGCACCTGCTCAACGATAACTTCAAAAGTACCCAATTCAAAACCAATTCACCCTACGTGAACTGTGCCAAATGTAGGGGTAGGTTTCATTGAGCTCTGAGACGAAAATGTATTGGTGCCTAAACTTGCTGAATTAAGATCCCAGGTTTGCTACTGCATGTCAGCTTTGCTGTCCTCTCTTCTGAGATAGGGCACTGCTTTTCTAGCCCTGTTTAGGAGCTGGTCTGAATCAGTTGTATCCCAAGTTCACCTCTTCCCTTGTTACAGGTTAAAGGGACTGACTGGTGAAATCTTGTCAGAAATATAACTACAGTTCATAGGATGCATGTTTCTTTGAAGATACCTGCTCCATACACATAGGGCAGGGGGAGCCTGTGGCTTCATAGAAGCTAGTAGTGGCTTCCCTTCCTCCTTTCTCTAACTGTGGTCAGATTAATGCCAACTTCTTCTCCCAGCTGCTTACTAGAGAGATGTCCGCCTCTGGTAAGATTAATCTAGAGGCCCTTTTCCTTTTGGGTGGCACTGTGAAACCTCTGTGCAAGCTGGACTCCCAGAGACAGTGCTGTCTGTTCTTCTTGGGAGGGGGGCAATGGAGCCTGCTGATTCATTCCACAGTTACAAGCCCTATCGTTGCCACTAACTTCTCTTATCCGTCCTGCCGGGCAGAGCTGCGATGCTCTGAATTGTTTTGTCTGGATGATGATTGTGTTGCTTTTTATTTTAAATAAAATGATTATTTTGCATTACTCTATTTGTCAGTTATTATTTTTCATCTAGCGATCTGGAAAAACTACATACGTGTAGCAGGTGCCTTTGTCATCTGCCGTGCTATAGCAGCAGACAGATTAGTTACAGTAGTAGTTAAGAGGAGCCTCCATCATTGTAGCATGGGGGGGAAGTGTCAGTCTCATTGTTTATCTCACAGTATCCCTGCTACTACCTATGGTCTCAGTCATAGCCCTGTGCTGCATGTTTGTATCAGATGAGGCCAGTACACACTTTGGAAGCTTGTGCCACCATGGAAAGCTACTAGGGACATGATGGTGGCCGGGAGAGGGACCCCCATATCTAATATTCATTGTCAGACTGCAATCGGTGGGAGGGAGGGGGACAAATAAGTGAATTGCTGGAAATTTGCTTCCTGCTGCATGGCTCTCTTGTCACAAGCCAGCAGTGGACTTGATCTTGTGAGTAGATGGGGTTGCGTTGAAGCCAATAGAGCTGACACATGCAGTGTAGAGGATCACCAGCAAAGGGTTAAATTCAAAGTGCAGTGCCGTGATTTGCCCCTCTCCACTTCTTGTTAAGTGCTTTGGTTTTTCTTCTGGTGAATTTGAGTTAGCCTTCCTGGAGGACACTGGACTATTCTAGTTGTCACTGGCAGAGACTAGATGGGACTCATCTAGACGTTAACCCTGCCTATATACATGTGTGCATGTGTTGGAACATTTGGAACTTATCACAGGGTTTGTTGCCCGTTTTATTACGGGCCTTTTAGGAAACCAGATTCCTAGGGTCGACAAGTTAACACGAAGCATGTGTCAGCAGGGAGGGAGAGAGCCCTGCGGAATCTAAGAAACTTATTTTAAAAATATTCCAGAAATTGTGGAAAGAAAAAGATCTGAAGGGGAAATGAATTTGTGGCAACGCCGGACAAGAATGTTACTGACTTATGCCTCAGCCTAGGTCCATTCCTTTCAAGTTTGCGCCTCTCCCTGCCGAGAATTGATTTGAAAAACAAACTTTCTATTACTTTTCCCTCCGTGGAGCTCTTGCAATGCAAGAGATGCACAATTGCTCTCTCTTCCCTTGCCTGCTGGAAAACTGGCTGGAACTAAACAGTGAACCAACAGCAGCCACATTGTTAAACTAATCCAGCCCCCAACACATGTCCTTCGGGAGAGTTAACATCTTGATGGAGATGGAGCCATCGAAATGCTAACATTGTTAAGGGCTGCAGTTTGGATTAATGCTGAGCTGCAGAAGTATTTTTGCAATGGCTGTCCTTCTGCTTTTCATCCCTAGAATTCCCATGATATATGCGTTCATATGTCCCCAAATTTAGGCTGTCTGCTGTTGTAGCCTAGAAGGACTGCTATGGCCTTGCTCTATTCTTCCTCAGATTTCTTTGATTCTTTTACTGCAATTGCACCATGGCTCCTCCCTCTAGCATAGAGGATGGGCACATTGATCCTCTGTTTAATTGCTGCTAATGAGCTGCTGGAGGAGGTTACATCAGTTAGAATGTAAAGCTGTAATTATGTGACAGCATTGAAGGCCTGCCTAGCTCTGCCATCTTTCCCCTCTTAGCCTCAATTAGAGGCACACTTGCCAAATAAGGTAAAAATGGCCCCCTCCTTACAGGGTCTTATGTAAAGTGAATGTCATGGACCTCAGAAAGAGGGTTAGAAACAATGATGTTTCACAGTGAATCTCGAATGCAGCATGTGCAGTATCCTCACAACAGTATGCTAGAATGGCGTGTTCCCACACAGCTGCTTAGCAAGGGCCACCTAACCAGCACTAAATACAATGTGGCTGCCATGGTTGGGTTGGGCAAATCCCTGTTGTTAAAAAACATAGTGCACAACAGGCCCTTCCATGCAGGGATCTCATAGTGCTTTACAAGGCACCACCCATATCGCACAGCTGCACCTGGTTTGTAGATTTTGGATAAGGGCAAACTGAGTCACGTCTGGCCAGTGTTTTCCATGGACCTTGTGAGTTTGGGGTACCCAACATGAGACTCCTGGGGCCTGATTTTCAGTGAAGCTGGACTCTCATAACTCCAGCTGATGTCAATAGCAGCCATGGGTGCTTAGTAGCTCTGAGAATCAGGGGTGCAGGTTGACTACTCAAAAATGAAGGCACCCAGAGTTGGTGGACATTTGAAGTGGTGGCTTGAGTGTCTTGCCTAAGTTTATACAGTGAGTTGGTGAAGTCAGCACAGAATCTGCTGTGAGCAGAGACAGATGATAGGGTGGTTAAAACAGCAGCCGCACTAGTGCTCCCACCATTGCCAGTGGAGATGCTCTGGCGCAAGAACAGAGTAGGGGAATTTCAAAAGCACCTCTGGGTGGACCCAACCTAGGGCCTTTTCTTTGGCAATAGATGGGGCTAGATTCTTCTCAGTGCTTGTTACAGAAAGCATGATGGGCCCCTCAATTATAAGTCAGTTTGGCCTTCCCTTTGGGGACAGGATCAATCTATTAATTTATTTAAAATTGTGCAGCAAATAACTAGTTCAGGACCCTGTGCTAGCAAAACTACTATGTTGGAAGATCATGTTGTTATAACTGTGTGTGACTGGAGCTGCCATCTGTCCTCGTTAGAAAACAAGTGCTAGAACCCTCTCCGCATCAGCCATGCATATTCACTCAGAGTTGGGGGTGGGGACAACTGTCCACTGCCATTGCATACATCATCCCGGACCCAGACTATTTTCAACCTCTGTCTGAGGAAAGGAGTGGTTGCTGGTGGGGAGGGGCTGTGGTTGACACCTAGGTCATTACTACAAAGGCCTCCTCTGAAGCTGTCCATCTGCTTCCAGGAGGCCACATCAACCCTCATGCGCTGTTATCTGTAAGGTAGGAAACTAACATGGCCCTGTTGGACTGATGAGATAAATTTACCTCTTGTCAGACCTGTGCATGCTACTATTGCAGGCAGCCTTGTTAACAATAATGGTGTTGAAGCATGGCGTTTGCTAGCAGTTTCCTTGGCTAGCAGGATAGCACTCCCATCCATGCAGGAAAGATTTTCAAGCATGACCCAAAACACCCCAATCTGGCAGTTTTGAGAATATAGAGCCCTTAGTAGGGTTGTTGCTAGCACAGTTTTCATCCCATGTGGGCAGTAACGCAGCTGATGTATTGAGCCAGGATTATACCTGAATAGAGCAGGATCTTGTCTCGCTAGAGCGAGATGAAACTCTCCCAGGTTGCTTTAGCTCTACTGTGAATGGGTGTGTCCCTTCTGTGCCAGAGGCTCCTGAGCGGACAAGTAGCTCTAATTCCTCTGCCCACTAACTGAATATATAGAGTTGGGAAACTAGCAGCAGGTCACATTCTTAAGTACCTCAACTGGATTTTCTGTCCCTGGGGAAATGCCCTTTGTTAAATCATCTCCTTTTGGCTTTTCTCTTCCTTTTTTGTTAGCTAAAATCTCCAGCTTTTTTCAGCCCCTCTGATTGGATCCATCTACAGATAGTTGGCAGAGATGGCTCCTCTTAGTCTGATGATCACTATGCTTTTACAAAGCCACTGTCTGCCTTTCTGTGTAGGCTAGCCCTTTTCCATGGATTATTTCATACCCCAGTTGACTGATGTAGAGCCAACCTTTTCCCAGTAGAGGGCAACATGCTCTTCAAAGATGACTCACAAATACACCAGCTTTCTCAAAAGCTAGCCCTACCCATTGAAAAAGGGCTGTACCCATTAACAAACAGTATTTTACCCCCCTTTTTAATCTTAGTGAGTGGAGTGCTGGGTGATGTATGTCCCCAGAGCATTAAACACCATCACAGTTAGCACTACCTGATCCCCTTGGCGCTGGCAATGGCAACAGAGAGGCCAAAAATTGAATGGACACACACACGGTGGAGGGTAAGACGGGGTTGATTGACCAACTGTATTGCACCCTTGGCAATCCATGCTGCCAAGCCTGGCAAGGGCCCTACTGAGTCTTTTTACATCGTGGGCAGGAGCAGAGCTAGAGCAGAGCAACAATCAACAGGGAAGGGAACCTGAATAGCTAATTTGGCAGATAATGTGAAGATCAGCCATGTTCAGCAAGCTGAGTGTTTCCAGCCTGTGTTCCTGCTATGTGAATTCGTGGCCTCCTGTCCCTTAGTCTGCTGCAGTCAGACAAGAGCCAGGGGCATTAATCCTGCTGCTGGCTTGGAATCCCCCCTCTTCTTGGTCTCCAAAGGCACGGGAAGGTCTCCCCCAATGGCTGTCCTCCTTTGAGATCCAGGAAAGGAGGTCCCTATGAGCCCAGACCTTCAGGGAGGCCAGTGGAGGAAGCAGCTGGCTTACACAAGCTTGGCTTTTCAGGGATCTAGAGCACCTTGAGTTTAAGGGGCAGAATTTATGTGAGGAGGAGATGATGGAGCTTGGTAGACTGCCCAGCCTGCCTCTCTGCTCCCCTCTCCCCCAGACTTCCCCAATACATGCTGGACTGGGAGCAGGTCTACCTGGCAGGTGCAAAAAAAGATGCACAATGAGCCAGCATCTACCTGCCCCTCGAGAACAATAGAAAAGAGGGGAGGGCCACCAGCTATCCTCAGCAAATGGGTAAATGTGTATGGTGTATTCAGGGCCCATTGTGGGAGACTGTTATTCGGAGGTGGAGGAAAATTATATTCAGGAGACCAAAGGGCATCTGAAGAGTGGAGGGAGAGCAAGGTCTAGTGATTAGAGCCAGAGGCTGGACTCAGGAGATCTGAGCTCTGTTGCTGCTCTTCCGCTGACTCACTGGGTGACATTTTCAAAGACATCCCAGCATTATTGGATGCCAAACTTCCAAGACCTCTGGCTGGTTTTTCAGAGGTGTTGAGTCCCTGCAGATCCCACAGACATTAGCTGGAGTTAAGGGTGCACAACATCTCTGAAAATCAGGTTCCAGGTGTCTACAGTCAGGCACCTGAAAACTGAGGCTCTCACATCAGAGGCTGCTATGGAACAATTTGGCCTGAACTGCTCTGTGCCTCAGTTTCCCCTTCTGTAAAATAGGAACAATGTCTCTGGGTCACCTGGGGGTTGTGAAGCTCAGCTCATTTGTAGTGATGTGAGATCCTGGGATGCAAGGTGCTAACTGAGGCATGACCTGTGCCTAGGAATATCAGCCAGAGCCGAAGAGTGGGGAATTTGCCATGCCCTAATAATCATATTCCATTCAGTGCCAAAAAGGGAGCTGAGAGAAGCCAGGCTATCAGCCTGACAAGGCCCACCTGGGGAATAATGAGCCATTATAACAGGAGACAGTTTGAGAAAGAGGTAGCCTTCACCAGCTATAGCACACAAGGACAACCGAGATGACGGAGGATTCTTTCTATGGCATACCACATTCTTTTTCCATTACCTCTATTTAATGAGTCAAAATTTCTGATGCCCATAACATTACCAGTCTCAAGAGTGGAGGGGAGAGTTAACAAAAAATGTGTTTGACCGAGTAGCTGTAAATCATTCATTATTGTTTGGGTTGAGCTGTAGTGGGGCTATGATGATCTCCCATGAAACCTAAAGCTGCACAGAGAAGAAGATTAAGTGCTGTGGTTGTTTGTTACTAAGAATACAGTTATCCATAGGCTAAAGAGCTCCTGCTTGATAGGATTACCCAGAGCAGCAAGAATCAGCTCCAGTCCATTTCCCCCTTCCTTGGGATTTAATTTGGATTGAGGAGAGGGGGCTATTTTTTAGTCAATCAATAAACTGCCCACTCACCTATGCAACCACGGAAGGTTTGCTGGGGCAGAATTGGGAGCCAGATTCCTGTGTCTGCTCCCCTGATGCTCCACTGTGGCAACAGTAATTAGCACTCATAGAACACCTTCTATTTTCAAAGTGCTTTGCAAACCTTTACTGAGCCTCCCACAGGCAGGGAATGCTGGATGGCAGACTTCAAGACCTGACAAATCACCCAGTCCAAGCTGTGTCCAATGCAGGATTGATCCTCATGAAGCATTTGGCCCAGTCTAGTTTTTAAATCTGCCACGCAATGTCCCATCACTCCCTTTGGGAGACCCATTCCACAGCCTAAGTATAACTAACCCCATCTGACAGATGGGAGTAATACAGACATCTAATTTTCCTTGCTAGTCCTTTTTATCCATGCAAAGGGTGGCCTGGCCAGTCCACAAGCAAGGGCTTCCTGTCAATTCCAGCATGGAGGGGGGGGAGGAAGAGGAGGCACTCTGGAACTCTGGCTTCCTCTTACCTCCAGATCCACCTTTCCCAAGAGCAGCCCTTCCATTACTGAACAAAGGGATAATAAGGTGTAAACTATTCACTACAAGGTCCCCCTATCCTGCAGTCAGATCCAAGTCAGTAGATGCCCAGGCACTGAAATTGATTGGGCTCCAGGGGAGGCTCTGAGTGCCAGGTGCCCTACAGAGGAGGACGAGGGCGCTGCCTCAACACTGCTACAGACACTAGGCTAAACAAGGCTCATTTAAATTAATAACTCGATGAGTCCCGGAACTTTCTGGAAAGAGCCTTTTGGACCCAGCCCGCTTCTGGCAGAGCTGACCATTTCCATCAGGCTAGCGTGCTCATTCCCAACATCACCCCCCCGGGGCGGGGGCGGGGGGGGAACCCCTTTCCTAGGGGAGTGGAAACCCGGTTCTCAGTGCTCTGCGGGGGCTGGACCCGGGCTGAGAACACGCTGAAGGAGAAAGGGGGAGAGAGAAAACCTGCTAACTTGGGCTGCCTGCGCGGTGGGAAGGCAGCGGTGGGCAGGGCTCTGGGAAGTGACGCTGCTGCTGGGTATGTTGTGAAACCCTATCCAGCTTTAGCAGAGCCGGGATTTCGCTCACAGCTGCGGGTAGATTGCGCTGCCCCTTGAAATTAACCAGAGCTGGTCAGTTGTTCCCAGGCAGCAGCCGCGCAGGGGAGCCAGACCAAAAAAACAAGCAACGCCCTTGGGTCCATTGCAAATCGGCTCCTGCCCAGAGATGGATGTGGCCGTGGATCTGTACCTGGCGGTCCCGCTGCTGTTCACGGTCCTGGCTGTGATCCTGGCTTCGGTCTTTGTGAAGCTGAGAGCGGCTGACGGGGACAAAGCTGCCGAGCCAGCCAAGGGGGAAGGGTCCCAGGGCAAGGAGGCAGGGGCCAGCGCGGCAGCCGAGCCGGGGGAGGAAAGGAAGGATGGCGAGGGGGAAGGGAAGGAGGGAGACGCGCTGAAGGAGGAGGGGATCCCGAGGGGGGAGAAGGGCGAGGAAGGAGCGAAGGACGAGGGGAGAAGGATCGTGGTGGAGGAGATTGGGGCTGAAGAGGGGAAGGCGAAGAGAGCCGCGGAGAACGAAGAGCCGCGGCCCGAGGAGGAGGCGGTGGTGGTGGTAGCAAGGACTGCAAAAGCGGACCAGCAGGGTCACCCTCAGGAGATGAACGTCCCCCGCCAGGCTGCTGAGGCGGTGGAGGAGGAAGAAGAAGAGGAGGAGGAGGAGGAGGAGAGCAAGGTAGGAGCGGGGAGCTTGTCTTTCTTGTACGACTTTGGGAAGTTGGGTTGGATCCTGCTGCCTGGCCCTGTGGGGGTAGGTGCTGGAATTGGGGGGGCTGCAGCACCCCCTGGCTTGGTGTCTGTTATACGGGGGGACAGTCTGGTTCCATGGCTCTCGGCACCTCCCCCCGTACGCGTTGGGCCAGCAGCCCTGCCTGTGGGAATGGCGTGTGTGCAGCTTCCCACCTAGAAGTTGTGAGGCTGTTGCCTGTGTGTGTGTGACAGCAGCAGCAAATGCTGGGGTTGGCCCGAAACCTGGTGTCTGTCCTGACCCCCTGGCAGGCCAGGCACACCCATACAGTGCTGTGCGCAGGGCCTGTGCGGATCTCACGCACTTGGCACAGAAATGCCTCTAGCCAGCCAGTTTTGTTTTTCTTTGTGGCCTCCAGCTCATCCCACCCTGCCCCAAACCTCAGATCTGTTTGATCTCTCTCCTTCCCACCTCCTCTGATCTAATGGGGTATGACAGGCTGGTTGCTTCTGGGAGCGTGGGGGGGCGGGGGGGATGCTGCTTCATGCTGTTCCACTGAAACATTGATTTCGGATTTTAACTCGCAGCCCTTCCCCCGGACCCCCGTCCCTACTGCTTCATCGGTATGCATCCGATGAAGTGAGCTGTAGCTCACGAAAGCTCATGCTCAAATAAATTGGTTAGTCTCTAAGGTGCCACAAGTCCTCCTTTTCTTTTTGCGAATACAGACTAACACGGCTGTTACTCTGAAATCTAAAAAAATAGATTCTGAAAATTGAATGCAAGCCAGATGAATCTTTGCTTGAGCTGACCTGAGGCTGCAAATCTGGCTGGTGAAGCTCCTCCCTCTCTATCACTGGCCTCACTAATCCAGATAAGGAGAAGGGGTTCAGAGGGTTCAGAGTCTCCTTTTTGCACCCTCTATCTAGATGTCTCTGGTACAGACTGGCTTCTTGCGGCCCTGCATATATGGAGGATGAGCCCTTGTGAGGTGGTCTCCAGTGCCCCTCCTTCCCCATGCCAAGGAAGGAGAGATTTGAACGCCCTGTCCTGCAGTCTCGGCATGAGACGGCTCCCAGAGTCTAGACTCGGTGTCCAGTAGCCCTGAAAAGTGCCCTGGGTATCCGCAGTGTGTGCGGCAGTCACCCAGTGGCGTGCAGCAAAAGTAAATCCTCCCACCGCACCAGATCTTGGCTTGTTAAAAAATAAATGAGCAATCCAAGGTGGGTGAAGAGCTCATGCTTCATTGCTATCCCTCCTCCAGCACAGCCAGGACTCCAGGGGGCCAGTCGCCAACGGATGGTAAACTGGGCCTGCTGCTTTTCTCACGCTCCTTTAAACATGAATTGCCTGAACCTGCTGAATTGCAGTTACCAAAAGCTTTCCCCCAGGGTTTGCCTGGTGGTTATTTTCAAAGGCACTTTGCATCTGTGGGTCATTGGGTGAGTAGCTTAAAGGTGGCTTTGGAAAAAAAAAAAAAAAGTATGTGTTGGGGGAGGGGGGCGATATCTATTTAAAAGCCACACTCCAGACAGGATGCTCCAGTGGAGAGAGCACAGGCCTGGGGGCCAGAGATGCGTAGTTATGTTGTTGTTGTTAGTTTTACTTTTAAAATGTCCTGGCCACGGTACAATAGACACAACAGAGCCAGCCCCTGCCCTGGAGAATTTACAATTCTTGGCTCACTATGTGACCTTGGCCAAGTCACTCTGTTCCTTCATTTCCCTACCTGTAAAGTGTGGTTAAGGCTTCGTAATGTGCTTTGAGCTCTATGAATGGAAATGTGCTAGATGATTTGCCAAGCCCTATTAATTAGTATGGAAAGAAGACTGAAGCAGGCTTGGTGACTTTGGCACACGGATGCAGGCCTATATTTTAACCATGCTCTTCCTGATCTGTAACGTCTCTGTAGTGGGGCCTGGGCAGCATCCATGCTCAACTTTACTTAGATTCTCACTTTCAGAGGTGCTGAGCTCTCACAACGCCTGAGTTCAGTGGGACTTACGCATGGGCAGCACCTCTGAAAATCGAGCTACTCTAGCTTGGTCATGTTGTTCCTTAGGACCTCCTTATCTCTTGTCCCACTGAGGATTGTCCGTCTCATTGGTCTCATAATGGGAGTACTTTGCCTCTGGAATAAAGAGGATGATACCTGGAGACATAAGTTGGGGAGATACTAGCCCTGATGGGAGCTGGCCTGTTCACTAGTCTTGCTGTTGAAAAGCTTATTAGCCAGGTTTCTCTGCACTCCTCAGTCAGCTGCAGGGTCCGGTATGTGTCCCAGCTTTTCTGGCTAGAAACGGGCAGCATCCTGTTGAAGTTGCTGACTTTATAGATTTCAGAGGGGTAGCCATGTTAGTCTGTATCAGCAGAAAGAACGAGGAGTCCTTGTGGAGCCTTAGAGACTAATACATTTGTTGGTCTTTAAGGTGCCACAAGTACTCCTCGTTCTTTCTGACTTTATAGAGGGTTCCCATCCGCACCCTTGGCTTCCCTCCAGGCTTATGGCTGCTGCATGGCTTTTGTTTGAAGGTCTCTTCATCCTCTCTCTCATACATAGTCCCTATTTCAGAGCTTTGCTAACCAAAGCAGCTCGGATCCTTTTAAACTAACCTCTGTTGGGGTTGGATGCTCATGCTCAAACCAGTAACTTGATCAGGGTGACCGTTATCATGCACCTTGGCTTGCACCATCCCCCAGCTTGCTCAGAGTTCACTCCAGAACCTGGCTGGGTTTGGTCAGTGGGCGGAGAAGCTAGTCAGGACGTTTCCAGAGGTACTGATAGGAGCCTGCCGGTTTTACTCACAAGGAGAGTGATTGCAGCTGAAGGCGTCTCTTCATTGCTCAGTGATGGGGCTGGGCAAATGAGATGAGACCCCTGCCCACAGTGAAGGTGTCTCAGCCAGCTTGTCTGATCTCCTTCCCCAGTTGGCTTGTTGTCTCCACAGTTCTGTCTGGGCTCCACAGGCTTGTTGGCAGACTGCAGTTAGTTTCTCTGCCTCTCTCCCCAACCCCATCTTAAAACATGGGTTGTGTCCCCAAATCTTGTTTAACCCCTTCAGTACCTTGCACTGTTGAAGGTTAGGAGTCTGTAGGGTGGCATGGCTGTCTCCTTGTAAAGTATGTCTGGAGCAAAGCATACTTGTGTATGTGTCAGATACAGGAGAGACCATAAAGCACAGGGCATTTGTGGGTGGACTAGGATTGTGGTTCTCCACCTTTTTTCATTAGTGGACCCCTTAAAAATTTTTTGAATGGAGGTGCCGACCCCTTTGGAAATATTAGACATAGTCTGCAGACCCCTAGGGGTCCATGGACCACAGGTTGAGAACCACTGGACTAGGGTCCGGTGATGTATAAACCGGAGATGTCTCCCATAGAAACTGGCCTCTGATGTACTCTAGAAGGAGAGGCGTGTGTAGATGAGATGTGGAGAGTCTGTTTCGAACAGCAGTTGCTGCAGAGGAGAAGGCTCCTGCACCACCGTTGTTGAGCTTGTGGGAGAGGATAGAGCAGGCTGATGCTAGATGAGTGCTGGGGTGGGGGAGGAGAGCATGAGAAGGGCCATGAAGCAGGCAGAAGGCAATGGAGGGCTGGACCTGAAGCGATTTTAGTCAGCCAGGGAGGTGGCCGATACGAGTGATTCCACCTTGCTTGCCTGCAGGCAGGCAGCTTGCTGTGCTGCTTGAAGGCTGGTGCACTTAGCTCCCCAAAAGAGCCCATCTTGATGACTAATCAGTTGGAGCACAGCTGGGACACTGACCCTGCCTGGCACTTAACCAGGGCAAGGACTCACTGCAGCGCTTCCTTTGACAAAACAGGGTGAGGGAAACTGCTCTATGCCACCAGGAACCCTGCCTCAGGCCAGTCCTGACTGCCCCCAAGAGCAGAGCCCAGTTCTGTGGCTTGCAAACTCCCAAGGGAAACAAACTTGGGGCAATAGCTTGGTTCCCTGCTGTGCCCCTTTCTCCTCTCCCTGCCCACCCTGCTCCCTGACAAGCACGCTCCTGGGCTACGCCTCCTTCCCTCCATCACCCTCTTTCCCCTCCTAAACCCCCAGGTTCCCAAAGTGAGTTAAAATAGGTCTTCTCTGCCATGCAAGGCATTTTATTTTTCCCCTGAGAAGAATGACTTCATTCAGGTCACGCTCCAAACAGCCTCTCTGGTGGACCTAAGCCTGTGGATGGAGAGGGTGGGAGGGGGACATTTTTCGGTGCTGAGTGAGTGAGTGTGGGAGAGGGAGAGAGAGAGATCTAGCTTGTTCTAGGACTCCTCTGAGTAGGGCGTTTAGTTTTACAAGTGCACTAGCTAAACAACTTGATTCAGGACAGTAGAGCGGAGGGAAGATGATGTGCCATCCCAAAGGGGAGTGGGTGTGCATGTGTAGGGAAGGGGGGGTGGCGGGGACTTAATACCAAACCGCTAATGCCCCATCACTGTACTTCTTGGCAGCTGCTCACCTAGACGGAGAGGCATCTTTCTCTGGCTACTGTAAAAACGACAGGGTCTCTGTCTTGGGGGAAGGTATTTAGCTCTCCCCACGCCCCCTCTCTCAGAGGAATTTTCAGAACATGCCGAATACCCCAAGGCTGGGGTGTGACTTTGCCAGCGACTGGCCTCATGCTGATTCTCCCATCAGCAGACTGTCTGGAGTGTGAGAGCTCTCCCTGTCCTTGGGCTGATAACCTCACCCTGCACCCCTGGAGGAGAGGGGCCGAGAGAGGAGGTGGCAGTTCTTGGTTGTGTTTGTTGTTACAGAATGCGTTTGGGCAGCACTAGGCAATCATGTACTCCATAACCTCTGCGTATGCTAGAGGCTTTTAGTAGATGCGAAAGGTGCCCCAGGAATGGGCAGGGGGACGAGAGAGGTAGAATGGAGCTGAGCTAAGCTGGTGCTATCCAGACAGCACCAAGGTTAGACTCGGGGGTATGGAGCTGTCTCTGACCCTCAGTAGATTCTAGATTCAGGTCCAACATCCTAGCTGCAG